CCCAGCTTTTAACATTTTCAAAAAGCAAGAAGTGTTTGTTGGAGGTGAGAGAAACATCACGGGAAGGCACACAGCTCGTTTTACTTTCCCAGGTTGGCAGAGGCAAAGGTAAGGAGGTAGGGTAAGGAGCTAAGAAAACATGCTGGTTTTTGAGATAGCTCTAGTGGGAAATATGATACTGAAACATCAGAGAAAGGCCTGGGTTCAAAGTATGGATTTACTAGTCATCAGCAGTGCATGTAAGTAGTGTGTGAAACAGAGAGGGAATGAGCTCCAGCTGTGAGACCCCTCCAAGGAACAACACAAGTTTAGGGAAGCATTTGTTTAAAGAACAAGGGCATGATACAGTTTAGACAGAAAAGTATGGAAAGAAAGACACACACACACACACACACACACACACACACACACACAAAAGGCCCTTGGCATTTAGATAGCAATTAGAAACCTTTGCAAGTACACTTCAAGTGGAGTAGCGGGGTCAGTAACTAGATAGCAAGTGTGTTAGGGTATTTTTTACTACAGAAAGCACAACTCACTTCATCTGACTCAAAAGTAAAGGTGTTTATTGCAAGGATTCCTAGCTTTCCCAGAAATCTAAGGGCAGAAACTGGACTCCAGGCCAAGAGTACCAGGAGCAGGAAGCTTCAGGCACCAAGACTTTATCTCTCTTTCCCTCTGCCTGTCTTTCTGTGGCTGTAGATGATCAGTTTTTCCCATGGATTCTGCTTTTCTCACCACTGACTGCTTCATCCCTCCCTATGCTTCTTGTGCTTAAAAAAAAAAAAAAAATACTGTGCTAAAATACACATAACATAAAATTGACCATTTTAAAGTGTACAATTCAGTGGCATTTAGTGTGTGTACAGTGTGGCGCAGCCATCATTACTATCTAGTTCCGGAACTTTTTTATCACCCCAAAAGGAAACCTTGTGCCCATTGAGCAGTTGCTCCCCATTTCCCCTGGCAGATATCACAATAAAGCGAGTCACACAAGTGTTTAGTTTCTCAGTGAATGTAAAAGTTATGTTTACACTATATTGTAGTCTATTAAGTGTGCAATAGCATTATGTCTAAAAAAACGTCTATATACCCTAATTTAAAATGCTTTATTGCTTTAAAAAAAAAAATACTAAGCATTATGAGCCTTTAGCGAGTGGTCATCTTTTTCCTGCTGGAGGGTCCTGCCTCAGCGTTGATGAAAGTGCAATTACCTGTGAAGTACAGTGGAGCAGAGCACAATAAAATGAGGTATACCTGTATTTGTCGGTCTCCAAATTGGGGGCAGCAGTTTGCCCTGTGTCCTTGCCTTTTTAGGGATCCCAGAAGAGTGTTGATTTATCAGTCCGTTCAGCTTTTTATGTGTTACAACAGAGTGGGGACTCCCAAGCTCCTTACATGCAGAACTAGAAACCCAGTCTCTCCTTTATAAAAAATAAAAGTTTTTAATTATAAAAAGCACATAACATCAAATTTATCACCTTAACCATTTTTAAGTATACAGTTCAGCAGTGTTAAGTTGTGAAACCAATCTCCAGAGCTTTTTCATCTTGTAAAACTGAAACACTAAAGAACGTTGTAAACAAACAAGCAGAACAGAGACAGACTCATAGATATGGAGCGGACTGATGGTTGCCAGAGGGGAACTGTTGGGGGCTGGGTGGAAGGTGAAGGGATCGAGAAGGACAGCTGGTGGTTACAAAGCAGTGACGGGCATGTGAAGTACAGCAAGGGGAATATAGTCAATAATATTGTAATAACTTTCTATGGTACCATACAAATAACTTTGTATGTGATTGTCCAACCACTTTGCTATACATCTGAGACTAATAAAAATAATATTGAAAATAAACTGTAATTGGGAAAAAAAAAAGGTCTTAAACAATACCTATTCTTTCTCCCTCACCCTCACCCCTGGTAATAACCATTCTACTTTCTGTTTCTATTTGATTACGTTAGATAGCTGATTTAAGTGGAATCACACAGCATTTGTCTTGTGACTAGCTTATTTCACTTAGTGTAGTGTCCTCAAGGTTTATCCATGTTGTAACATATGACAGTATTTCTTTTTTATTTTTATTTTCATTTTAAATATATCTTTATTGATTTCAGAGAGAGGAAAGGAGAAGGAGTGAGAAAGAGATAGAAACATCAATGATGAGAGAGTCACTGATCAAGCCCGCCACCCAGGCATGTGCCCTGACCGGGAATCGAACCCCGATCGCCTGGATCCCAGGTGGATGCTCAACCGCTGAGCCACGCCTGGCCGGGCTCTTTTTTATTTTTAAGGTTCAATACTATTCCGTTGTGTGTACATATCACATTTTGTTTACCCACTCATCTGTCTATCGATGAACATTTGGGTTGCTTCCATCTGCTGGCTATTGTGAATAGTACTGTTGTAAACATGGTGTACAGATATTTCTTCAGGACTCTACTTTCAGTTCCTTTCAACATATACCCAAAGCGGGATTGCTGGGTCATGTGGTACTTCTATTTTGAATTTTTTGAGGAGCTATCATACTGTTTTCCATAGCAATTCTATCATTTTGCAGTCCCACCAGCAGTACAAAAGGGTTCTAATTTCTCCACACACTCACCAACACTAATTTATTTTTCTTTTTTTTTTATAGTATCCATCCTGATGGGTGTAATATCTCATTGTTTTGATTTGCATTTCTCTCATGATTAGTGATGTTGGGCATCTTTTCATATCCTTGTTTGCCATTTGTGTATCATCTTTGGAGAAATGTCTATGCAAGTTCCCTGCCCATTTTTATATTTCTTCTTTCCCCTAAACTTCTCCTTTCTCCAACATTTTTTTTCATTTTATTGACACTCTCTACGTCTGCTTTCCCAATTTTCCAGCCTCTGAGTTCTGCTTGTCCTGCTGTCCCTGTACTGGCTTCTTTTTCCTGTGCTGCTCCTTCCTGCAGCTGGTTTTCCTTTGCTGACTCTGTCTCCATTGCTCCTTCATTGTCAGCATTTGCTGACTCGGTTACTTTTCTCCCGATTTGCCTCTACTTCTTTTCAGGTGCTTCTCTTGTCTGTGGCTGTTTTTCCTTTTGCTGGCTCTATCCTCACTTATGTTTTCCCCTTTTCAGTGTCTCCTGATTCTGCTGCCTTTTCTGCCTCTGCTTCTCCTTTTTCTGTGCTGCTCCTTTCTCTGTGCTTCTCCTTTCTGCAGCTGGTTTCCTTTCACTGACTCTGTCCCACTTCTCCTTTCCCCTCAGTCTCCTGATTCTGATGCCTTTTCTGCCTCTGCTTCTCCTTTTTTTTCTGTGCTGCTCCTTTCTCTGTGCTTCTCCTTTCTGCAGCTGGTTTCCTTTTGTGGACTCTGTCCCACTTCTGCTTTCCCCTCAGTCTCCTGATTCTGCTTCCTTTTCTGCCTCTGCTTCTCCTTTCTCTGTGCTTCTCCTTTCTGCAGCTGGTTTCCTTTTGTGGACTCTGTCCCACTTCTGCTTTCCCGTCAGTCTCCTGATTCTGCTTCCTTTTCTGCCTCTGCTTCTCCTTTCTCTGTGCTTCTCCTTTCTGCAGCTGGTTTCCTCTTGCTGACTCTGTCCTACTTCTCCTTTCCCCTCAGTCTCCTGATTCTGCTGCCTTTCTGCTGCTTTTCTGCCTCTGCTTCTCCTTTTTCTGTGCTGCTCCTTTCTCTGTGCTGCTCCTTTCTCTGTGCTTTTCGTTTCTGCAGCTGGTTTCCTTTTGCTGACTCTGTCCTACTTCTCCTTTCCCCTCAGTCTCCTGATTCTGCTGCCTTTCTGCTGCTTTTCTGCCTCTGCTTCTCCTTTTTCTGTGCTGCTCCTTTCTCTGTGCTTCTCGTTTCTGCAGCTGGTTTCCTTTTGCTGACTCTGTCCTACTTCTCCTTTCCCCTCAGTCTCCTGATTCTGCTGCCTTTCTGCTGCTTTTCTGCCTCTGCGTCTCCTTTCTCTGTGCTGCTCCTTTCTGCAGCTGGTTTCCTTTTGTGGACTCTGTCCCACTTCCCTTTCTCCTTTCTCCTTTCTCCTCAGTCTCCTGATTCTGCTGCCTTTTCTGCCTCTGCTTCTCCTTTCTCTGTGCTTCTTTCTGCAGCTGGTTTCCTTTTGTGGACTCTGTCCCACTTCTGCTTTCCCCTCAGTGTCTGCTGATTCTGCAGCTCTTTCTAGTAATTCTGACCCTGCTTTCACTTTTCCTAGTGATGCTTTTTGCCAATTCTGCTCTCTTTCTGCTGACGCTGGTTTCCCTTCTCCTGCTCATGTTCCTCCTGCTACTTGTGCTTCTCCTTCTTGGTTCTGTGTTTCTATACATCATTTCTGACCTCCTTGTAACCTCACTTTTACATGACCCTTAATGGCTACCCCAGTCCTGACTGCACCTTATGGCTTCACTTACAACCATTCCATGTCTCATTTTTTTTCAATTTCAATTTACTCCCCCACCTGAATAAGAAGAATATCATATTAAGTCATGCCTCTGTGTCATAGATAGCTGGTTAACCTATGGATTAGCTGTTACCTTAAATGCTCACCTCTGGAGCAGTAAGCCATGCACAGGCCGAGGAGAACCGTGAATCACGTGGTACAGAACATGCCCATTTAGGGCCACAGGGACTGAAGGTAACCCGTAGTCCTTAAAAGGAGATGCGCCTGAGCCAGCAGTAATTGTCTCCTTTTCTGGAAGTGAACTGAACAGTGAGCAAGTGGTGAGGCAATACTGTAGAGAAAGTTACGCTTTTAAAAAAGATGGGTGGAAAGCCATGAGAAAGCATGGAAGACAGCTAAGTATTTATATTTAATATTCCTGCCCAGACAAGAGGGGAAGACTGAAGACAAATAAGAGAGAGAACAGAGGGAGCAAGGTTTCATAATAAATGGGGTTGAGATCAGGAACACAGGATTGAAGGACAGACCAGGATGGAAGATGCAGTGCCGACCCCTTTGGGACGAGAAGAGCCAGGAGGGAACGCTGCCTTCTGCACTCTCCTGATGCCTCGAAGTTCTCTTACTGTTTCCTCTCTCTCGCAGGCCCCGAGTCGGTGCCTCCCTCCCTTCTCAAGGTGGCGATGAAACCCATAGCGGCGGGTGGCGAGAGCTACCAGTACCCGCCCGTGAACTGGGCTGCGCTGCTGTCCCCGCTCATGAGGCTCAACTTCGGTAAATATCAAGGGTTTTAGGTCTCCAGGCTCTGATTTGAGGGCGTGACCTGAGTAGGAAGGTGGACCCTGTGTCACGGAGGCGCTGACTAGGTGGACCTTCGGGCTTCTGAGATTGGACTTCATGGGTGGGTTGCTTTCCCTGGTCTGATGACTAGCTGAGGGTGAGGAGGAGGGTGAAGGCTCGGGCAGACGCAGAGAGATGCCCGCTCAGCCCGCTCCCGGGAGGCGTGCGTGCGGCTGGGCATGTGCTGCGGGCACCGGGAAGCCGGCTGGCTGGTCCTCAGCCTGCACTTCCAGAGGCCTAGGTTTAGCCCGGGGGCGCTGTGACATTTTCTGTTGCTGCTGTAGCATTTCCACAGACTCAGTGGCTTGAACTACCACAAGTTTACTTATTTATCTTATAGTTCTGTAGCTCACAAGTGCAACATGATTCTCTCTGGGCTGAGGATGGGGTATCGGCAGAACAGCATTATTTCCTAGATGCTTTAGGGGGGTGTTGTGGTTTGAACTCCCCTCGCCCCCCGGAGGTCGTATGTTGAAATCCTAACCTCTCGTAGGATGGAATTAGGAGGTGGGGCCTTTGAGAAGTGACTAGGTCATGAAGGTGGAGCCCTCAGGAAAGGGATTAGTGCTCCCAAAAAAGAGGCCCCCCAGAGCTCCCAGCCCTTTCACTATGTGAGAAATCGGCAGCCTGCGTCTCAAACAAGGATCCTCACCAGAACCTGACCAGGCAGGCCGGCACCCTGATCGTGGAATTCCAGCCTCTGGAACTGTGAGAAATAAATTTTTGTTGATAAGCCGTACAGTCTGCTATTTAGTTATAGCAACCCAGACAGACTAAGAAAGGGAGAGTCTCTCTTCTTCCTTTCTAGCTTCTAGAGGCTGCCCACAGGTCTTGGTTTGTGGCCCCCCTTCATCATCAAAGCAAGCAGCAGAGGGCTGAGGCCTTCTCATGCTGGCATCTGTCTGGTTCTCTGCAGCTGGACACGCTTAAGGGTTCATGTAATTAAAGAATCCAGTTGAATAATCCAGGAGAACCTCCCCATCTCAAGGTCATTAACTTTAATCACATCTGCAAAGTTCCTTTGCCATACAAGGTACCATATTCACAGGTTCCAGAGATTAGGATGTGGGCATCCTTGGGGGCCATTATTCTGTCTACCACAGGTACTTTGTGGTGAGAGGCAAAGGGAATACTTGCCTCCACACCTGTAGTCCATCCACAGCAGCCTCCTTTATGGACTTAGCATATGCAGATTTAATTTCATGTACTTGCCCCTCACCTTCAAAAAAGGGGGGGGACAATAATTTTAACAATGCTGTAATTGTGGGTGTTTGTGTGTATTTGTCATGAGTGCTATTTTCTACAGTAGGGTGCCTATTTATATATGATCTACAGAAAGATTTCTGTACTGTAATTTATGTGTGAAACTTAATAGATAATCAAAGATGATTTTGACTGTACAGTTTTTTATTTAAATGTTTCATTTTAACCTAATCCTAGTATAAGATATGATGTTACTCTTCAGTATTATTAGAGATTTCATTTGAAAAAATATGTCCTTCTGCCCCTCCCCTGCTTTTGCATTTGCGTGCTGCATTGAAAATGTTTGTGTTTTAGTAAAACTCCTTAGAAAAAAAGAAGGAAATACGTCTGGTGATGGGGATCAGACAGTTAAACTTGATCACTGTAGAATGTGGCTTCATCCTTAAGTCTTTCCAGATCTAGACAGATTTCTCTGTGGCTGAATGCAAGGCTGAGAGGAGGGGAGTACAGAGGCAAAGAGATCTGTAGCCAAAATTTTCTCAAATGTTTGCTAGTACTTCAGCGTTTAGGCTTATCTGTATATCATGAGAGATATTACCCCAGCTAGCGCAAGGCCCTTGTCAGTCCTAAGACTTGGGATTCTGATGCCAGTGGGTACATTCTTTTACCTCATTCCTAAAAGGTCTCTTGAAATACCTCTTGGTTTTCTAAAGTTCTTCTTCTGGTAGAAGTCACACATGCAGGTGCTTTGACTTGAGATGCTCGAGACTGAAAAGCAGAGGAGCAGCTACACTAGATATTCTTTTTCTTTCTTCTCTTTCAGGTGAAGAGATACAGCAACTGTGCCTTGAAATTATGGTGACTCAGGCACAGTCATCCCAGAACGCAGCTGCACTGTTGGGACTGTGGGTGACACCCCCGCTGCTCCACGGACTCAGTGTATGTAGTAACTAAGGGTGTCGGGGCCTCAGGAGGATATGCTTCGTTGTGGAGAGATTAGCATTCATTTGGGGGTGTTCTCAAAGTCAAGAGTGGACAAGTGGGATTTCACAAAAATTGAGGGTTTGACAAGTAGCAGCTGGCCAGCAGAGTAGAAGATTGTGTGATTTAGGATTCTGCCATAACTGTCACCATTCGTGCTACCAGCTACCATTTATTCCAGTAAGGGAAAATGCTGATCAGAGGTGTTAAAGTTCCTTTCTCACATTCGTACAGCTAGGAAGTTGTAGAACTGTTTGAACCTAGGTTTATTTGTTTATGGGACACACATAATCATTTCAGTAGGTAGGTATTAAGAGAAAGACAAATCCACATGTACAGGATATATGAGCCCTCCTTTTCACAGAAAAGATGGCAATTAAGGTGAGCCTTGGCTAGGTAGGACTTGGTGAGGCACCCAGTTGGAGGCGCCAGGGATGTAGGTACAGAGAGTGGAACATCCCTGCAAGGGGTTCAGCTTGAGCACAGTGCCCAGGCGGAGGTGACCTGGCCTGGTTGATTACCTTGTGTCAGGGCTAACAGTGCTGGTGCTTCAGTCACACTCCTTTCTTAATTCCAGAAGAATGCAGGGAACACCCCTTGCTTCCTCAGAGGTTTACCAATGGATTCGAAGGTCAGCGAGGGACCTTATCTGTGTTAATCTTCTGTTCTAGGAGGCTGTAGTTCTTCGAGAATTCTACGAAGCCCTCTTATTATTTCCTTAAACTTTTGGCTTTAGCCCCTACTCCTCACTTTTTCTCCTTTAAGCCCTCCTGCGTCTCCTAATACTTTCTGATGGCAGGTCAGTGTTATCGGTGTCTGCTTCTCGCTGTCAGCTTTCAGCACTGTCTGCTCCAGGCAGCTCCCACCTAGCTACCGCTTAATGAGCGCTTGCTATGCCCCTGGTACTTGTGAGCACTTTCAGACATTCGGATTAAATCCCTTCAACCCGTACAGGCTGATTTTCTTTTTTTTACTTTATTGAGTTAGAATTTATACTCCATAAAATATGGCCATTTTAAATGTAATTGAATTTTAGTCCATTTATACATTGTCATCCATCACCAAGAATACTTTGATAACCCCCGAAAGTTCCATTGTACCTGCTTGTAGTCAATCTCCCCTCCCAGCCTCAGACCCAGGCTTCCACTGATCCATTCTCTGTCTCAGTCCTTCCTTTTTTTAAGAGAACTTTCATATAAATTTAAATTTCATATAAAGTTTAGAAATTCTTCAGAATGGGATCGTACAATATGAAGTCTTCTGTGTGTGGCTTATTTTACTTCTGAGCAGCAGATTTTATTATTTCCATTTTACAGGCTGATAAACTGAGGCAAATGGAGGTTAAGCCGAGTTCACATCTCTGACAAATGGAAGAGAGTCTGGGTGACCCTAGAGCCCATGTCTTACACACTATACTATTAACTCCTTCCTTCTGAATTAGGTGTGACTCTCCCAGCCTGTTGACCTAAGAAATTTTTCTAAGTTTTAGTTTTCTTTCCATTTCTTTCAGATCTGTGCTACTCTTGCATTTGTCCTTGATTGTTGACCTTTCATATTATCTCTGTTAATAAATTAAGTTTGTGAATTCATTTTCTTAATTATATACCTTCTCATTTTAAAAAATGGTTTGAAATGGCATATTCTTTAAAGTGAGCTCTTCAGATTTATACTAAGGCAACAGCATTGATCTTTTTAGAAATTTACTGATTTTTGTCAGGCTATTTCTTTATACCACTTCTTTTAGATTTGCTGCTCCTTTAGTATCATACTTCTGTTTCTAAGAATTTTTTAAAATTTATTTTTATTGCTGACAGTATTACAGATATCTCCCATTTTGCCCCTTTGCCCCCATTTACCCAGCCCCTCCCCATCCCAGGCTTCACCACACTATTGTCTGTGTCCATGGGTTATGCATATATGCATATAAGTTCTTTGGTTAATCTCTTCCTGCTCCCCTCCCCACCCCCTTTCCCTCTGAGATCTGTTAGTCTGTTTCATGCATCCATGTCTCTGGACCTATTTTGTCACTTTATTTTGTTCATTAGACTCCACATATAAGGAAGATCATGTGATTTTTGTCTTTCTATGACTGGCTTATTTGCTTATCATAATAATTTCCAGGTCCATCCATGCTGTCACAAAGGGTAAGAGATCCTTCTTTTTTACAGCCGCGTAGTTTCTAAGAATTTTTGAAGCCTGCCCTCTTAAAGTCCGTGGTCCCAGAGCTATTACTAACAGGGCCCCTTCTAGCTCTCTGGGACTCAAATGCTAGGGTCCATTTCCCATGCTCAGCTGTCCTTTGTCCAGAAATGGTCTCTGATGTCAGTTCCTCTTTTTATGTCCCTGTGCCTCCTCAGAAGAGGGAGTCAGGACTACCAGGTTCTCTGTTTAGTTGATTTCCAGCAGACAGACCTTTCATTTTCAGGAGCTTTTCTTGACAGAAAATGTGGCTTTTTAAGACTGAATAGCAGCAACTGGGATGAAGCATTTTATTCCCCTCACTGAAAAGATCCCAGGTTTAAGCTGAGTAGTTCGCAGATGGATTGGCAGATACTATGTATACACATGAGTCAGGCTGGATCAGAAGTCCCTGCTGCAGCCAAAAGGACATGGCACGCACTGGGGGTCCATTGAACCAGGAAGCCGTGGGAAATTGAGGGGCAGGAAGTCACCTGAATCTCTTATCTCAGCCCGCTCGCAAACACAGCGATGACCTGGATGGAGTTTGGGGGGCATTGCAAACCCAGGCCTGCCTGTTTACATCTGACCTCTTCTATTTTCCTTCTAGCTGAACATCAAGAAATACCTCCTGGTGTCTGCACCGCTGTGGGTCAAACATGTCTCCAATGAACAGATCCTGGGTTTTGTTGAAAACTTAATGGTGGCAGTTTTTAAAGCCCCTTCCTCACTGTCCACTCCTGAGTTATGCCCGAGCGCCTTGCAGGGCCTGAGCCAGGCCATGAAACTGCCCAGCCCTGCCCACCACCTCTGGAGTCTGCTCTGCGAAGCTACTGGGAAAATTTTTGACCTTCTGCCAAATAAGATTCGGGTGAGGAACAAAAATATTTACATTCCTGACAATTTATGTTTAGGCTTTTTTAAAGCCTTTTTGGCTAAGCAGGGAGGTACATGTTTTAAGAGGGAGGTGGGAAGGCTAGCAGGAAACAACCACGTTCTCTGCTAAGAATGTGTTTGCTTCCAGGATCCAAAATGAGGTTGAATATTTAGAACCAAAGTCTTGAGCAAGTTCAGAAGCCGGTTAACCGGTGTTGCACCGGGAAGTTTGCTCTTAGGCCTTTTACCAAATGCCTGTAGAAGCTGAGCAAGCTCAGAAACCCTTACACTCTACCCCCGAGAATTTTTGGGCATGCCGCTCACTCTACCCCTGAGACTCCTTGGGCGTGCCGCTCACTCTGCACCCCGAGACTCCTTGGACATGCCGTTCACTTTACACCCCGAGACTCCTTGGACATGCCGTTCACTTTACACCCCGAGACTCCTTGGACATGCCGTTCACTTTACACCCCGAGACTCCTTGGACATGCCGTTCACTTTACACCCCGAGACTCCTTGGACATGCCGTTCACTTTACACCCCGAGACTCCTTGGACATGCCGTTCACTTTACACCCCGAGACTCCTTGGACATGCCGTTCACTTTACACCCCGAGACTCCTTGGACATGCCGTTCACTTTACACCCCGAGACTCCTTGGACATGCCGTTCACTTTACACCCCGAGACTCCTTGGACATGCCGTTCACTTTACACCCCGAGACTCCTTGGACATGCCGTTCACTTTACACCCCGAGACTCCTTGGACATGCCGTTCACTTTACACCCCGAGACTCCTTGGACATGCCGTTCACTTTACACCCCGAGACTCCTTGGACATGCCGTTCACTTTACACCCCGAGACTCCTTGGGCGTGGTGCTCACTTTACACCCTGAGAGTCCTTGGGTGTGCCATTCACTTTACACCCCGAGATTTCTTGGGCATACCGTTCAGTACTGTTCATATGAAGTGACCTAGTACTAGCCTTTCCCCTCCCCCAATAGACCCTGGAATTATAGTTTTACAAAGATGGTAAAAATGTGTTTGGAATGATGGATCCGGATGAGACAAAAGAAAGAACAGCCAAACAAATACACAAAATAACAAGATAGATGTTTTTTAAATGAGGAAGAAAATGACCACATATTTTAGTTTGGCTAAAATGAAAATCTCACCAGTTGCTAATTGTGGAGATAAGCTAATCTAACGATCTGTCGGAACATTAAGAATATACTTTCCTTACATTGTATTCTGACATGCTTGGGCTTTTTCCTTTACCAGAGAAATGACTTAGAGCTGTATATCAGCGTAGCAAAATGCCTCTCGGAAATGACAGATGACGAAGCCAGCCGGGTTGCTCCGGTTACTGAGGTAATAACATCTCTATGTATTTTTTCATTACTGAGACTACTTTGGCTTCCTACTTGTTACTGTTAATTTCAGAAACCCAGCTCTGTGTCACTCGGGGTCTGTGTCCACCCTAGTCCTGTGGCTGGTTCTTAACAAATGCCGTGTGTAATGACCTTTTAACCTAATTAATCCCGCTTGATCAAGAACACTTTAGTGTCATCTGTGGGCAAAAATAAGTACAGGGCAATGTCTTCAATAAAAATCCACGAAAGTGGGTGTATTCTGACTAAAGAACTTCCTGGTGCATGGGAGACATAAATAAGTAGCTCAGGTCTCAACATTTATTTTTCTTCGCCTGATAATTATCCTTTCGGAATGAAGAAAGGTGTTTGATTAAAAAAAGCACTATTAGCCCTGACACAAGATAATTAACAGACGCCCTCACACCTATGCCCAGTCAAATGATGAATGAGCGAAAAGTAGCATGCCAGTAAGGCTGCCAGGTTTAGCAATGTAATAAATTTGGGCAGTGCACCGAGTGTTGCGGGAGCAGCTGCTCGGCCCCTGGCTCCCGCGACGTGGCCTTCAACTTTGGGGCTCCCTCGGGCACCTCGGGCACCGCTGCGGCCCCCGCAGCCCCGCGGGTGGGTTCAGAGGATTCGGGACGCCGTCTACAGCGGCAGGTTCTGCATCCAGCTTTTCTGCCCCAGCTGACACAGGCACTCATGCATTAGGTAGTCTCTCCAGTCAGCCTACACAAGCTCCTGCCCAGTCCAACCAACTGATAAATACTGCAAGTGCTCTTTCTACTCCAGCGCTGTCAGGAGATGAGAGAGATGCCATTTTGGCAAAATGGAATCAACTGCAGGCCTTTTGGGGAACAGGGAAAGGATATTTCACCTATAACATTCCACCAGTGGAATTCACACAAGAAAATCCCTTTTGCCGATTTAAGGCAGTAGGTTATAGTTGTATGCCCAATAATAAAGATGAAGATGGGCTAGTGGTTTTAGTTTTCAACAAAAAAGAAACAGATACTCGAAGCCAGCAACAGCAGTTGGTAGAATCATTGCATAAAGTTTTGGGAGGAAACCAGACCCTTACAGTAAATGTAGAGGGTATTAAAACATTGCCAGATGATCAGACAGAACTTGTCATTTATGTTATTGAACGTTCCCCAAATGGTACTTCAAGAAGAGTTCCAGCTGCAACACTATATACCCATTTTGAACAAACCAATATAAAAACACAACTGCAGCAACTTGGTGTAACCCTCTCTATGACTAGAACAGAACCTTCTCCTGCACAGATCAAACAGCTTTTGCAGAATCCTCCTGCTGGTGTTGATCCTATTATCTGGGAACAAGCCAAGGTGGATGACCCTGATTCTGAAAAGTTAATTCCTGTACCAATGGTGGGTTTCAAAGAACTTCTTCGGAGACTGAAGTTTCAAGATCAGATAACTAAGCAGCATCAGACCAGATTAGATATTATATCTGAAGATATTGGTGAATTACAGAAGAATCAAACTACAACTATGGCCAGAATTGCACAATACAAGAGGAAACTCATGGACCTTTCCCATAGAACCTTACAGGTCCTAATCAAACAAGAAATTCAGAGGAAGAGTGGTTATGCCCTCCAAGCTGATGAAGAGCAGTTGCGAGTTCAGCTAGATACAATTCAGTGTGAACTAAATGCACCTACTCAGTTTAAGGGCCGACTAAATGAACTGATGTCCCAAATCAGGATGCAGAATCGTTTTGGAGTGGTCAAATCTGAAGAAATATATTACATAGATGCAGATCTGTTAAGAGAAATCAAGCAGCATTTGAAACAGCGACTGGAAGGCCTTAGCCACTTGATTAGCATCATAAAAGATGATCTAGAAGATATAAAGTTGGTAGAATATGGATTGAATGAAACCATCCACATCAGAGGTGGCGTATTTAGTTGACAGATCACAAACTTGTTAAAGGTTCGTGAACTGTATCTTCTTGCTACATCAGGCCTTCCCTAAAAAAGAAACTGACCACACATGGAGAAAAAAAGGAAGAAAATCCTCTTCTGGCTTGGTTTTTAAGGAGGTTACTGACAAATTATTGTTCTTCAGATTCGAAATAAGTCACTTCACAACTCTTCAAAGACAGCCTTTGGAAGATTCCATCTAAAAGCTGTTATTTACTTTGAGAAGTACATAATTAACAAAAACATGTACTATTATACATTTTTACAACAGCATTTTTCTTAAGAATAATCATTGTTTAATGATTATTCTCCATTGAGCCTGTACTATGCTTTCCATAGCAAGTAAATATGCCAGATCTGCTTTGCCCATAAAATGTATGACTACTTGGCTGTTGGAGATTTTTACTTCAGAATATAAATGTACATCAGTTTTTATATTTGTGAATTCACCTGTGGGAGGAGTAAAGAAATTCAAGAGTAGTTAATGATTAATGTGGTTTTCTTTTCATTCTATAAAAGATTTGAAAATATATTTTTATATTATTTTACTTATTTGAAATTCACAGATACCCTTATAAGCAATTAGTATATAACAAAATTACATTTTATCATTTTTGCAACTTTTTGTTTTTTAAACCTTTTTATTTCTAATAAAGATGAAAATAAATTCTTGATTATAATTACTTTTATGAAAAAAAAATTTGAATTGCAAATAAACAGTGAATAATTTTTCAGTAAGTACATCCCAATGGACATATTTATTCAAATGGACCCTGCATACCAGGTAATATCAAAGTTCCTATGGAACGGGGAGCCCTCACATAGCTGGTGGACATCTTACTCCACTTTAAGGAAGGTTTTACCCACTCAATCAAATCCTTGAATTTCTGCATCATGTACAATGATTCGTAAAGTTTGGACCAGCAGCATCAGTATCGCCTGGGAACTGACTAGATATGCAGATTCTCAAGTCCCACCCAGACCGACCCAATCAGAAACTTTATAGGCGGGGCCCAGGAATCTGTTTTCACAGTCCTTCCAGGTGATAGTGATGCATCCTAAGGTTCGAGGACCACTATTAGAGCGTTTGGAATGTCAGCATTTTGGAGATGAGCTTATTTTAAGCCAGGGGAAGCAGTATAAGGAAATGCTTAAATGAATGGACTCCGGAGCCTCACTGCCAGGGTTTGAAATCCAGCTCTAATTTACCATTGTGACCTTAGTTACATTTCATAACCTCACCCTGCCTCAGTTGCCTCATTTATAAAAGGGAGATAATAGCACCTACCTGTTTGGGTTAGTTTGTGAGTTAAATGACTTAATCCATGTTAAGTTCTTGGAAAAGTACCTGACCCAAGGCAAGTACCCAGTAATGGTTTATTATCCTAATTATTATATTCATGTAATTTATCATATCCTATTATCATATTCATGTAATATAGTTAGAAATAATGCATGCATTTACTTTGTGGCACCTAGAACGGAAGGTTGCTATGTTACTCACTCGGGTTCCTAAAGTACCATTCAGAACATTGTCACCAAAATAAACTAAATAGCCTTCTGATGTCCCCAAAAGAGTTAGTGTGTTTCTCTGAGGTCAGTGTTTTCATTTCTGGAAAAAACAGAGGTAAGAATGCTGTAGTGGTGAAGACATCAGACTCCCTGGGCTCTAGTTCTTTTCTGCCACCTATGGTGGTGTGACCTAAAGCCAAGTTATCCCACCTCTGTGTTTCAGTCTCCTCATCTCAAAGGAGGGATGCAGATAGTAATCTATTGCATACAGTTTATGTGAGAAGTCAGTGGTTAATACAGTGGCTAAACTTTTTGGTCTTAAAAATTATTGAGGACTCCAAAGAGCTTTTATTTATATGGGTCACATCTGTCAATATTTACAGTATTAGAAATTAGAACTAGGAAATTTTAAAAACATTTACTTAAAAGTAATAATAAACCAATTGCATCTTAACATAGACAAGAAAGAAATATTTTCCAGAAAATCAAAACAACTAATGAGGAAAGTGGCATTGCTTCACATTTTTGCAAGTCTCTTTCCCATCTGCATGCCTTGATAGAAGACAGCTGGTTCCTCATCGCTGCTTCCTTTTCTATCTGTTGTGACATTATTTTCATGAAGTATGTGAAGAAAATCCAGCCTCATACAGATATGTAGGTAGAAGGGGAAGAATGTGTTAAAAGGGTTTTCAGATAATTATGGATCTCTTTCTTTGATCCCGTAACCGAAACTCAACAGGTGTAGTAGCTGCGGTGTGGAACCTGGAGTCATCAGTGAACTTCAAGTCCTCCGTTACATTAAAACCCCTTCGTCTGGCTTGTCCCCGGGGTCTGTTACCAACGCGTGATTTTGTAACATCATACATTGACCACTTGAAAAATTTTGAATCGCTAAGTTTTGAAAATCTTCCAAATGCTGATACGTTTCATGTATAATATCAAAACATAGTATTTGTTAGCATCGGCAGCAATCTCATCAGGAAAGTCTGTATGTATTGGGAAGCTGTCAAACTCGTATAAGCAGATACACATTTTCAAAAAGTCTAATTTTTGCTTGAAAGTTCCAATTTTTTTTTTATTGGCAGTGAGTACTGTCAAGTATTTTCCTTGAAGTGACAGTCTGGCTTCCTTCAGTTTTAAGAAAGCAGCCTGTCAAATACTCAGTTTGAATAAGCACAGGTGTCGGTGAGAAGAGGCGATTTCAGCTCTCGGCCCAGGGAGACCGGTGGTTTTCCTGGAGCCGACCATCACCCCTGTCCGCAGCAGGAGTCCCTTAGGTATACTTCCCATGTCACACAGAATGTTAAAAGGATGTGTGCTCAAGGGCAAAGGCTTAATGAAACTAATAATCTCTACTGTTTACAGCAGTGATTTTCAGCTGGTGTGCCACAGGAATTTTTAAAACGTGATACCTGACTGTTTAGTCAGGGGCACTGACCTCTTTTCCCTTAGATTGTCAAGTAAAAAAATGACAGCCAACAAAACAACAGCCATTGGGTGTGACTGAATCAAATTATACTTTTCTAATTTTTTGTCAGATCCACAAGAAGTACAATATATTTTTTGATGTGGCACAGGATTTTAGCAACTAGTTTATGTGCCATGAGATGAAAAAGGTTGCAAATCGCTGGTTTACAGGGATGTTTTAAGTAAAATCGATTTTTCAAGAAGTCCAAGTTGCAATGAAAAATACAATGAATATTAGTACAGTTTGATGCTATTATGAACATACTTTGACCTCACAGACGCTCTAAAAGGGTCTTGGGGTCCCCCCGAGGTCTGTGCACTGCACTTGTGAACTGCCAAGTTAATATGTGTCGAGTGCTTAGAGTGGCTCCTAGCACATGGTAAGTGCTGTATGTGTGTTATCGTTGTATTTGTGCGTTCTTACTAAGTATCATCACCAGTTATCCCTGAAACCATTGACGGTTTTTATGAGAAAACAGGAGGTGACATTGCAACACTATCTGCAAGTACACTTTGACAGCGCGCGCAGGCAGGCAGGTGACCCGCCGCAGGAGATGAGCGGGTTGAGCATTTGGAATAATAATCACCTTCACACTCACCCTTTCTGTTCTGCCCTTGCCCTGAGGTTCTATACCGACTTCAGTTAATTTAATAGTAACTGAACAACTGGCTTTTTTGCAGAGCAGCATAGAAAAGGCCGCCTTTGTCAGACTGTACTTGGTCTCTCAAGGACGGTTCCCCTTGATGGGCTTGAATGATATGCTCAGCGTCGCTGTTCAGCACCCTGAGAAAGATGCCCTGGCCTGGATGATCCTGCACAGCTTATACCAGGCGCGGATCGTGAGCCATGCCAACACAGGTGAGCCCTGCCAACGGGGGGGGCGCCAGGAACAGAGAGGTGCCACCATCCCTTTAGTTGTAATTGTTCGCCCAACTTAAGAACTGGTTTAGTGCTTCTTGACCTAGCTGAGGCCTTGTTACCCTAAATGAGGAGCACCTTGGCTGGAAAGGAGCAGTTAAAGCTCCCAACATGGGAACAAATTCTTTTGAAAATTTGTGTCTTGTTTTTGGCCCTCAAGGATGTAAGTTTATCAGGTAGACCCTGCCTGTTTCCCTTTCTCAGACTGATAGGATTTCCGTTGACTGTGCCTGATGTTTTCATGAAAATGGCTTTGGGGTAGTCACTTAAACAAAAAAACGAGCAACAATGAACTTAAATATTTGTTCTGTAGAGGAACTTCTCAGGGGTGAGAAGAGTAAAATCTGGACAAGCTAACTACAGCCTCAAGCCAGAAGTTCCAGGCCTGGAGCTCTGCTAATGAATCCTATGGGGCAACTTTTAACCCTTGTAGACATTTAGGCTAATAGTGGTCCGAAAAGGGAACTCCTTCAGCTCTCCTCCCACGCCTTTGGTCATATGCTTAGAATTTCCCGAGCCTGCATTCAGGCTCTGAGTGGCCCCTGGCGTAAGGGGGTCAGGAAAGGCTGGGAGGCCCGTAACCCTAGGCCAGGTACTTGTGTTTTGAGCCCCATCTCCTGTATCTTGAATGTTCTGGGAGAAAACTGGCAAACATCATTGTAACACACTTTGCAAAACTGGTAGGGAAGTTTGATTCCCCTTCCTCGCTGGCAGTTGAGGTACAGCAGTCGTCTCATGTTTGCGCTGGTGCTTGCCCGATGGAAAATGAACCGTGATGAGAAACTACACTGTTTCTACTCAAAAGCAAAACTGTGTTTATCAGGGGAGAAAAGTCCAGCAGGTGCTCCCAATAAGCATGACGACAATTAAAGCAGATTGAAATAGATGTGAGATTGCCCTTGGTCCTAACCTTCAAATTTAGTTCCCATATTTTTCTCGTTCACTAAATTTTGAAAACCTTCCCAAGTAGTTTTTACTATAACAGGAATCCTCATTTTTAAAAAATAAAAAGGGGAAAAATCAATATTTATGTTGCTTATTCTTCAGTTGCCCTGTAACATCTGGTGTTTTTTTTTCTGTTTATGTCTTCATGCTGGATTTTCTGTGTGATTTGGGAATAAAGTGGGAGAATTTAAGCTAAGGACTGTAAATGCAACTAATCCAGGATTCAACGTCACTGGCCAGTTGGCATGCCCAATTTCTCATGGTGTGTTTAATGTGGAGAAAGAACTCCAATAAATGTATTTTATCACTAGTGGGTAGGTAGGTGTGAAGATGAAATTAGTCATCGAAAATGAAGACCAAAATACGGTCACCTGCTGTGAACAGAGTCAACTCTCACTGCTCCAGGGGATTGCAAGGCTCAGGTTTTGTGAGAGAACTGGGAACTAGTTCGAGAAGGCCTCACCAGGTGTGCTGCCTGAGCTACCATGGTCATAGTCATTACTGTTCTGCTTTGCATTTCAAAGGAAAAACCTTGGGTGGGTAAGAAATGTTTTTCTTTTTTGCAGGTGTGTTGAAGAGAATGGAATGGCTCTTGGAACTGATGGGTTATATCAGAAGTATTGCTTACCCGTCAACGCCTGTTCAGAACGTGGCTCTTGATGAGGTACAATTTAGAGGAGTAATTTGTAACTTTCTCTTAAAATATAGAACTTATATTTTTTCCCCCAAAAGAGGAATGTGTTGCTGCTTGTAGCTTTCTTTTCCTCCTTTTATTTTTGGGAAACAACAGTGGTGACAACTCTGATGTCACAGGAAATGGATGTTCTTACCAGGCTCTTGGAGATACCTAGGGTAAAGATTTCAACAGAATACATTCCCGGACAGGCAGCACACAAAAGGACATTAACTGGAAGGGAACCCAGGGTCCTCCGTACTTGGGCTTGATCCCACAAAGGAGGTGGGGTTCAGGGCTCTGGCCTCCACACTGGCCCAAGAGGCTTCACACGCCTGCTTTGAAGAGATTTCTGGAGTGTGTGCAAGTCATCTGTGTGCACCGGTACCAATGGGCATGTGTGCGTAAGTCAGAGGGGTTTTCAGCACACCTTCCAAATGGCCTCTGACCCAAAACAGGTTAACAACCACTGGTATTGGGTGAGTTTAAAAAGAAAAAGATTAATAAATCAAATGATGGCAGCACCTTTTCACTCCTCATTTTCTTAGCTGCCCACTGTGCAAGTTTTAGGGGTAGAATTTTTTTCGATAGGCATGTTTCATTCACGGGTTTCCTTTGTGAGTAAAAATGTGCACAGCCCGGAATGTTGTCTGACATTCTGCCCCACTTTTCTGAGGAGCTGTGTGTGTTTTTAAAATTTTAGTTATAGTAGGAATTTTAAGAGATTGAGGAGTTCTCTTTGAACTTCTTTAAACTAGCATAATCTGTCTTCTTTTTCTTGTCTCCTAAGCTTTTATTAGCCACCTCTGTTTTCTTACAAAATTCTTTTAAAACCTAGAAAATACAGATAAGCAGGAGGAAGTGTAATTTAAATCACAATAATCCAACATCTCAGAGGTAGCCCCTGTTACCACCATTGCTACCATCTTCTAAATTAATCTAAAATCTAAAGGGATGAAAAAATAAAATAAAGGGATGGATTCTAGACAGATTTGTTAAAATTTGTCAGGAGAGTCATTTGTTTTTGTTCAAAAATAGAACAAGACTATAAATAGCCCTCTCCATAGCATCTTGATTAATTTTTCATCTCTTTGAAAACACCAAACCGGGTGAGTATTTGGATCGCAGTGTGATTAGGAATTAAATTATGTTTCTCCTGAAATGTTAGAGCAATAATAATAATGAAACTGATGGGCCTTCTGTATTCACAAAAGAGGAGCCCAAAAACATACCAGAGCCCTATAATGCCTCTTTATTAAGTATGGAAACGGAACTTGTTCTTCAGGCCAGTTCCTCTCTGGGGTAGGGATGGAGCAAGAGGAAGGGAATAGAGCATTGCATCATGATGGAGGCCGTGTATGTGAAATGTGTTACTCTGGGTGGTTAAAACATGTGACCTAACCTTGTTTCTGTTTCCACTGTAGGCTTTGGACTTCTTGTTGCTGATATTTGCATCTGCTGTGGTTGCATGGGCAGACCATGCCGGCCCTCTCCTGCTCGGTCTCAGTGCCAGTTGGTTGCCATGGCATCAAGAAAATGGCCCGGCCGGGCCAGCGTCGAGCTTCCTTGGCAGGAGTCCAATGCACAGGGTCACTCTGCAGGAGGCCCTCACTCTCCTTCCCAGCAGCATGCTACTTCTGCTGCAGAAAGAGCCGTGGAAGGAGCAGACCCAGAAGGTGAGGTTGCCGGCCGCCTGCTCGTCAGGACAGGTGGCCGTTTTCTCCTCGGCAATATCTGCTGTAGATGTGAAGTGGGAGTTAAGTGAAGCTTGAATCACACCACAGGTTTTCATGCTCAGCCCCAAATCTCAGGCAGATGCAGAGCCTCAGAGATTGAGGCCAATATTTTGACAACGAAAACAATTGCTCAGTCGGGGTGAGGTGGAAGGCAAAGGCCATGCCTGCATTCAGTTATCGAAGGCACGTGTGTTCTTGATTCTGGAGATGGGATGGTGCGTACCTGTCGGGGAGCTCAGACTCTCCAAGTGAGGGAGACAAGTTCAAGATTGCAAGACGGGCCCCGGCTGGTTGACTTGTCCCCTGCACCATGAGGTCGCTGGTTCAGTTCCCAGTCAGGGCGCTTGCCTGGGTTGGGGGCTGGAGCCCTGGTAAGGGGTAGGGGGCTGCAGGAGGCAACTGACGGATGTCTCTTTCTCACGTTGGTCTCTCTCTCCCCCCCCTTCCTCTCTAAAAATCAATAAAAACATATTTTCTTAAAAAGAGATTGCAAGATGGTATGATAAAGAAGGCAAGGTGGGCAGAGTGGTGATGAACCGGGGAGGGAGGGTCAGAGAAGCCTTCCGAGGGGAACTGTGAGCCGGGAGCGCTGGCCTCCCGGTACCGGTTCCCTCCATCCTGCAGCCGGGCCCCAGGTGCACCCTGCTCCTCCTCCGCTAGGTGCTGTGGGAGATGTGTGAAGACCGAATGTGATCACCTTGCCCTCAGGAAAACCCGAACTGTAGGAAGTGCCTTTTGGTTTTCGATATTAAGATTTCCCCAGGCTACTGGCTGTCATGCTGAGAGTATGAAAATACTGTGCTTCCCGGAATTCTCCTTACGTGGCTCTGACCTGTCTGTATTTTAATACAGTTGTTTGAAAGACTCTTTTCTGAATCCCGTTTAATCAAAATTGGATTTTATGAAGTTGAAAGCTTAAAACTAATTTTATGTGGCTTATTCTTAAAACCTGAACACTAATCTTTAAAAATATTTTTGAGCTGTGGACCCAGTTTAGTTACACACAACTCCACTGAGCATCTCAATCAAAATGTCTTTGTTTTCTTAAACCTGATAAGCACTGGCAGTATTGCCCCAAATTTTGTGTGTTCTTTTGCATTGTAAATTGAAGTAGGTTTAAATGTGGTATCCCCTCGGGTTATTTCTGGCCTGGGACACAGGGTTCACATTGAACTGCAATGGAGACATCCTGCATCTATTATGTATTTGTAGTGCTTGATTTATTTACTTTACCAGTAGGATATTTTAAAGCAAAGTTGAGAAAAAGAAAATAAAGAAAAAAATATTTTCATTAAAGCAGGGAATTAGGAATATTTTCTTTTTCTCTCAGTCAAGATTGGCAACACACAGGAATCAATGAAATTACCCTATATCCGATTCAAACACAATTTTGGCTGCACCCTAGGAAATCAAACTCAGGAGGACTCTGAGTTTCCACTTCATTTGCAGGATTTATGTGCAGTTAACACACTTGGCTCTACCTAGTAAATTATTTTATGCCTTTTCTCTTGCATATCAACTTGCTGTTTCATACTCATTTGGGCATGAACTGTTCCTATCTACAGAAACATATTTTATTTTAGAAACAGTGGCTTACATCTGATGTGCTTCGCTATTTCCTGCCCAGCCTAGGAGCTGCACAGTGACCCAAGTAGCAGGCCGCATGACACGAAGGAGTGTGAGGCTTTGAAGCCAGGTATACTTGGCTTCAAGTCTTGACTCTGCTATTCATTGAGAGTAAAATTGGACAAGGTTCTTGACCTGCCTGGACCTCTCAGAGCAATGAGAGAGAATGTTCATGGCACACAGGAGGCCCTTGGGCCCTTGTGTACCTCACCCTTAAAACCCATAGCAGACCTCAGGGTATTCAGCAAGGGAAAGAGGTTTGACTTTGTGGGTCATTTGACTAGGAGCTGTGTCTGTCATTAACAGCTTAAGCCTGGTCCCTTTCTCCAGGGACTCCCCCAGCCCAGTCAGGAACTACCCAGGGACTATTGCTCTGATCCGCAGGTATGCAGGCTCAAGGGTCTGACTGAGAGTGGGGTTGTCCTCACTGATACTGTTCTTCATTTTCATTCTAGTTCATTGACTGGCTATTCAACATCATGGAAAGCCCTAAAGAAGGCCTCTCTGCAAAATCCAGGGGTCTTTTAAAAGGTATGACTTCTGTGCTTTATGTCCAATATATGTTAAACCTTCCAATGTTGTCTCTGCTGCAAAACAGCATTTGAGTGGACGTTGGTCCCTGAAAGGGCTCATCCTGGTTCAGTTAGAGAAGTAACCTGGAGCTGTCACCAGTGTGGCATTTTGAATTAGAAAGTGGATTTTTAAAAAGTTTCAGTGCCTTTATTTAATTTTTATTTAAATGTTTTGTTATAATTGTAAAATATGACTTGACTTAAAATTTTAAACATTCATTAAAAGAAAAAGAGGAATCCAAATGATAACTTTGATATTTTTCCTAAGAAGTTTTTGCCCCCTCCTGTGTAGGTGTTGTTTTAACATATTTAAAATGAAATAATTGAAAAAATGCACACAGATACTTTGAAAACTATCTTTTTTATTTTTAAATTATTTTTAAAGCATTTAATTTGTTCTTACACTGGCTTCATCGTAGTATTTTAATGGCTGCCTAGTATTTTGCCAAGGGAAGTTGGGCATTTCCCATGTTTCCAGGTATTTATATGGTTTTTGTGTTTTTTATAGTACTCCTCAGTTTATTAAACCATGACTGTAGGATCAACAAACATAGAAAATCTTTCTGTGAAAATTATGTAGATGTTTTTAGTCACATCTGAGAAGTTTCTTAGGTGTTGGCTCTAGGTAGGAGTGGGTGGCTGTCCTACCAGTGGCTACTGTGGGTACTGACCTGAAAAGTCTCACCCTAGGAAGGTTGCCTGTTGGCCTACTCTTCTGATCATCTATCCAGCCTCTCTGCAGCCTGGAGTCACAGTATGACTGTATTCTACTTTAAGAGTGGTATAATTTATTATTGCCGAACAGGCAAGAATTTCCTAATGTATTGGTTCTGATTCTTCTCCCTGCCCACAAAGAGGGCGGAGGCATGTCAGTGACTCTGATTCTGCTCAGTCATAGGACTTCATCGAGAATAAGGGCTGGGGCCTGAAACATTTCCACTAGACCTATCCCTAGAGATTTGCTGCTAGGATTTCCTCCGTTTGTTTGCGTTGGGGAGTGCGGACTCATTTGTAACGGCTGTGGGTCCACAATACCATTGGTTACTCCAAACATATACTGTCTCAGGTTATGAAGGTAACAAACAATTGATACTGATGAGAGGAATAGTTATTTGGGTCAAGGAAGTAAATATTTAACTTGATTATATATTCAAGGGCTTATTAGACTCACACGCAATAATTGTGTAGCTCTGGCTTACCTACATTCCTTCACACTATTACATTTTAAATAACATCTCAATATACTTATATCAGTATTCTAAAATAATATATATAATAAGTTACCTAGAGGCATTATACAGAACTTCCCTATTTTAAATTGATCCCTGAGGGACCCATGACAGATAAGAAAAGCTGTGGACTTGTGAGTACATGTTCAAATGTAGTTCAGTACAGTTCTGCTTACTCCGTTGAGCCCATGAACCTAACTTGGGGTCAGTTGGCTTTTGGTTGTTGTGGGATGTTGGTTTTTTTTACCTTTTAATGAAATATTTAATGGAAAAATCATATTCATGTAGAAAAGTTCTCGTCATAGATTTTTATAAAGGGAACCCGCCTATGTAATCAGCACCCTAATTAAGAAAAAGTATATTTCCAGCATCCCTGAAGTCAGTTTTTGTTTTAATTCTGCAGAATTTCCCCTGAACTGGTGCAAAAAATAAACACCCCCCCCCCCAAAAAAAANGGTAAATACACCATAACTATAGAAATAAACAAAATGGGAACCCACATTGCCTCTCTGTACAAGTTCTGCCTTCTTCCTACTTTCTAATGCTCTTAAAAATCTAGTTATACCAAGAGTAGACAAATAAAATGTGGTCTGTACATACAATGGAATATTACTCAGCCTTAAAAAGGAGGAAATTCTGATACATGCTACAACATGGATGATATGAGGACATTATGCTAAGTAAACTAAGCAAGTCACAAAAAGACCAATACTCTATGATTCCACTTATACGAGATATCATAGAAACAGAAAGTAGAATGGTGGTTGCCAGGAGATGGGGGAATGGAAGAAATGGAAAGTTATTCAGTGGGTATGGAGTTTCAATTCTGCACAATGAGAACGTTTTAGAGATCTGTTGTACAACAATGTGAATATGCTTAACACTACTGAGCTGTACACTTAAAAATGGTTAAGATGGTAAATTTAATGTTCTGTCTTTTTTATCACAAAAATTTCAAAACAAAACAAAAAAACACACTCTTTAACCCCCCCCCCCCAAAAAAAAACAAAACTTTTCCCCAGTCTTTATTAATGGTTTTCTGCCATTAAAATTCTAAGGCTTGATGGTAATTCTTAGACTTGAAGATTAGCCAAGTGAGGAAAAGCCAAGTTCTGTCCTGATACTCTTTTTGACCTAAATGACCTTTGCAAATGCAGCTCAGCCAAATGCAACAAGTGCACTTTGTTTTTTTGTCCCTTTAGCCACCCTGCTGTCCTTAAGAGCTCTCCCAGAGTTTAAGAAGAAGGCCGTATGGACCAGAGCATATGGCTGGTGAAGTTTCGCCATAGCCAGCCACCTTCTCAGCCAGAACAGGAAAGCCACACAAATGGAAGAAAATTTTCAGAACTGTGTCGGGATCGCTGAGACGTGATGTAGAGAGTCAAGGATCATGAAAGGGTGGCCACATAACAATGCCAGGAAAGGGGACATTGCTTCCCTACCCAGCCAGTGGAGACTGAAACGAGAACTTGAAATTTATTTAGCTAGAGTTCAATCTGAAGATTTTCTTTGTGAAAGTGTGACTATATCATTTTCTCCCCCCAAAATTCTAGTAAAATGATTCCATGAATTTTGTGCATGTGATTTTTGTTTTCAGGCATAGGTAAGGTTTTGCCAGCCAAACCAAACTATAGTGGTGACGGAGGCATCGTGATCTATTTCCCATAAAGCCTCTAGGGGATAGTCATCGGCTCAATGAGTTAGACACCTTTTCTTATTGATGAAACATTCTCTTGGAACCGCGATACATGGTTAAATAATAAGTGTGGTGTTAAACATGAGCTACATCAGGTTGGTTAGTGGTTGGCTGTAATTTTCTTACTCTTGAGCCCCTTGAATGCAGGTGAAAGTTACCCAATTCAAAATGGCTTGAGCTAAAAAGGAGACTATAATTAGGTCACAATCCAAGAAGTTAAAGAGCAGATCTGATCAGTGAATCAGTGCCACCAGGCTTTGCTCCTCTCAGGATCACTCCACACAGTTGTCAAGATGGCTGCCAGCAACCTCAATGGAAGGAAAGGTGTCTTTGCCCACAGGTATGGCAGGAGCAATGTGGGGAAGACTCCAGTTCATCTCGAGTCACCTGCGAGTCCCTGGGAGGTGGGGTCATCTACTTGACTAGCCTGGTTCATATGTCCACTTGATTGGTTTCCCCAGAAGAAAGGTTATGGGATGCTAGGCAAGCAAAAAATGACAGATACCGCCTTGAAAGATTCATCTTTTTTGTAAGTACAAATCCCTATCTTAATCTGGATGACTAGTGGCCTAATGACAAGTAAATGAAGGTATGTGACAATATCCTGAAGGGTTGCATTTTACTCAAGAGCTTGAGAATCAGCCAGCATTTTAATTTTGATTTAAGATGATTTTAATTATCTTCCCTTCATGCAGTCATTGATCAGGGCTGTCTTTAGCAAATCATGTAAATATATATATATGGATCACTGGGAGAGATTTTACCAGTGGAATAATGTACCTTTGTGTCTGTCATGCTGCAGCACAGCGCCTGCTGCTTCATAAGCACATGGAACTGTCAGTGTTCCCACGTGACATCACCTTGACGTCGTCACCAAGTGTACCTACCTGCACTTACGTTAAAAATAGATCTGCTAATTTTGTTTTTCAAATAGCTGGGTTTATGTTACCAGGTTTCAAATAGTTGTGTTTCACTGTGTAACTGTTCCCAGGTCACCGTTCTTCCTTTTGCTGAACCCCACAGGGTGCTGAGACGCCTACAGGAAAAAAGGGGAGGGAAGGCGAGCGCTCAGGTAGTATTGACCTGCATTGCCAATATTTCATATGTAGTCGTCTTGAGAGGCCAGGCCAGAAGGAGATGAATTTAAAGGAAGCAGAAAGGTAGAAAATTTGTGTTAGAAGCCAACTTCCCTTTTTTTCCCACCTACCCTTCTTAAACTTCCTCCAGTGAGAGGTTGAAAGTTATCTAATATTTATTGTTAGATGCCAGACTGTTAGTGCACTAGAGCTTTCACTTGTATTATCTCATTTCACTCTTGCAACAATACTGTGAAGAGGCATTTATTTTCTATTTTTAAATGGAGAAAGCACATCTAATAAGTGGCAGAGCTGTGCCTAGAATCAAGCTCCTAGAACCCCAGATCCAATGCTCTTTCTACCATAGGAGGCTCATCAACACTTTAAGATGAAAACGCCCACCAAGGATTAAACCTTGGTTTTAATATGCTTATGGTTTAATGTGCTTCATTAAACCTATGGCTTAATGTGCTTAATGTAGATTTCTGTAACCAGATCAAGGACATAATCCTGCTTCATGTTAATAAGTCTCTGGAATTGGGAAGTTGGGGAGCTCCAGGGCAAAGGAACAGATCCTTCTTGGGTTGAAGGATTTTAGGTTCCCGGACCAGGCTGCGAACATGGATGGCAGTAAAGGGCGGAGAAGGGGAAGGGGGCACTGAGAGCGAGCTTGCTAATGCTCGGGGAAAGGGTGGAGATCCGGCCCAGACTTCTGAACCTGCCTGCCGTTTTCTATCCCGCCCAGCTTCTTCCCATTCAAACTGTCCCTGCTCTGGCCCTAGACAGGAAAACAGAAGAGTACAAAAAGGAGGAAATAAGAAACACCTCTGCCTTCTCCTCCCTGGCTCCTTGTTTTTGTCCCGAACAGTCTTGACCATAAAATTTGTAGGATTTTCCTATTCGTGGGAACTTCTAAAGAGTCTAAAATGGAAAATTGTAAATTTGAAAATCTAAAAGTTCTAAAATCTCAACATTCAACACCCTTTCCCTAGGTTCCCTATGACCTCAGGTAGGATTTAAATTATTCCCTTAGGAGATTTCACTTTGTCCTCTAGAAACCAGAAGCCTCTGCTTTTTTAGACCAGATGTTCAAAACTATATACAAAAGGAAACTTTTCCTTACAGGACATCTTCTGTTAGTTTTTGAAATTGTAAATTGCCAAGACAAGGAGCATGCTGGGATTTACTAACATTAATGTGTGGGGTCAAAGCCATGTGTCTCAGAAATATCCAAACACGCTGGCTCTTGATTTGAAAAGTGTACATCTGGGACAAGTGTCAGGGTTCGTGTGAGCGCCTACAATCTCCTTTGTGTTTTATTTGTAATGTAATGGCTCCAAGCTAACTAATAGGCTGTTAATACCCTTTTTATTGAAGTTGATTGCCAGAGTTAACTTCTCAATGATTTTAACCGAAGATATTGCTGTTGTAATTATGTAAGCAGTAAGACTTGGTTAAAGATTCAACTGGTAGCAAAATAACTTAGTCACTTGGAAAGTAAGCAGTAGTTTTAGATTTTGGGTGAACACTTTAGTAAGTTGCTATTTTAGAAGAGAAATCAGATTGTTCGGTTAAGAGGACGGGGCTTCCTTAAAGCCAGAGGTGTAGGCCAGTCTCCGTTCCGTTTGTGTATCTGACCAACCAGCCTGTTCTTAGCTGCAGGCATTTCACAGGGAACTGCGGACAGAACGGGGCTTCAGCAGTTCGTGTCCCTCATCATTGCTGAAAACACCCACAGCATCGTCTCCATGTGTAAATGCGTCATTGCCCTGGTCTAGGACAAGGTAATATGCTTTTATATTCTCTGGAAGGAAATACGTTATTCAGAATCTGGGAATTCTAAAGTCTTTTCAAATGTATGACATGTATTATAGTTATTAAGTGCTTAAATTGGCATGTAACCTGTTAATCTTCACGAACAGTCCATTTTTTAAAATTGCAGTTTAGGTCATTCAGTTCTCGTCAAACATGGGGAGCTGGCGAAGTAACGCCCCGCTGGATCACTGACCAATGCCTCGGGCTTTGGTTCCCCTCCCTGGACGGCAGTGACCCACCTCAGGAGGCAGTGTGAGGGTTAAAGGAAGACTACGGAGGCGTGCTTCATAAATTCTAAAATGCAGCGGAAAGGCCACCCCTTTTACGTTTCCTCGGGAATCAACAGCGGCCGTCATGCTCGAATGCGGGCCTGCTGTGAACGTTAGGACTTGGTGACATAATGGCAGTTTCTTAATGAATTAAGTTCTCTCCTTAACAGTGAAAACACAGAAGCAAGTAGTAGCACATGCAGAAAAGATACCTGTGTAAGTTTAAAAAAGCTACATTAGGTTTCTTCTGAACACAAAGTACTCTAAGGTTAGTCAAATATCATTGAGAATCACCTAATTAATGGGATAGGCTTCTTCGAATGTTTTTTCTGGATGTGCTAGTGGTAATCCGTGAGGTCGGAGATGCAGAATAGTTACGAGTGTCTGCTGTGTGCCACCATCCAATGTTCTGGAGCACAGAGTGAGCAAGACGTGACATTCCTGTCCTCATGGGGCTTATGTTCAGAAAATGTAAGTCAGCGAACCAGCAGGTAATAAAGAAAAGCATCCAGGAACCGTGTTATAAATGTTCTCCTCCTGTAGAGCCCTTTACCTTTACAAAGGTTTCCTTCATCATACTCCATTGCCCTGCACAGCCACCTTGGACTGCTGAGGAAACTGGCCCTGGGGAGTCATTCGGTGAGGAAACATCGCAGCTGGACTTCAAATCGAGACCAGTGTCCTCACCTCCAGGCTACACTCTCCCTCCCAGGACCCATGGTTCAGCTGAATGCCACCAAGTGAGTACAGTGGACACCTACGTGTGTCTCATGAATTAAGGGATATTTTTACAAATTGATTTTCACATAGACAAGATTTAAAACACCAGTTACCCTTAGCAAAGACAGGAATTTATAATTAATCTATTTTGTATGTTTAAAAACTAGATAAGCATAAGAAAAAATAAATGCCATCATCTTCCTTCTGAAAACTGAGAACTATATTGTATGTTGGCTCATTTGGGGGCCTGTCAAAATGCAGGTTCCCGGGTCCATTACTAAAGTCTCTGATTCAAGAGACCATTAGTGCAGCCCAGGAATCTGCATTCTAAACAGGCACTCTGCTTTTAATTCTGCGACCATTGCTCCCTGGAATTACTTTGAATAAACAACCTGGAGAAAAGTACCAAGTCAATATGAGATCCAGAAGAAGAAAGTAAAGGTTATCTGACCAGAGTTTCAAAGCAAAAATAAACAAAAGGAAGATGGTGGGGAAAGGAGAGATAATTTTTATTTAAATCACTTTAATACTTCAGCATAATAAAGTGTAACTGTGTTCTTTGTATATAAATTTAAACAAACGTAAGCTTCTCCAGAGAAACATTTAGATATGGATGTTACAGCGACTTCAAATAGTGGAGGAAACAGATTCTTCTATGGGACAATTTGCTCAACATAGGCAGAGTAAGGTAAAGAAAAAAAAAGTTAACTCTCTTAGGGACCTCAGTGAAATGTGGCACATTCCTTAATAACAAACTTGTTTGCAGGAAGCCTGGCAAAGGCTTTGTCATGACCTGTGACTGGCACACTGCAGGCACAAAATAAGTGTTTCCTGAGCAAACACAGGCTTGTGTATGCAGCTGACTAACCTGTTTATTGAAGCAAAAGCTGAGGCCAGAATGCGAGTGTTCCTTGAAAAGCGCACTGCGGTAAAATAAAACGCATCGAGCTGCACGCAGATGTTTGGAAGAAGGTCGTCGTCGCTTTGTATTTAGCCTGTTTGACAAAGGAAAAGCTCAGGACTCTGCTGTTACGTGTGCATCTGTGTTTTACTTGTATATGTTAGTAGACTTTTGCTGAGTGATAAAGTGAATTCTCCACAGCAGTCTTATTCGGTGCTGTGATGTGAACAGCATCGGGAGGAGTACAGTCATTTCATGTCATGGATTTTTGTCAAACGCTAGGTATTTTCCCACCAGAGTGCTTCCTGTGTTGTGTTTACTGCAGCAGAATCCACAAGCCTGTTTTCCTTATGTCACATCAGAATGCTGTGCCTCACATTTTCTTCTTTTTAATGGGAAGGACTCTGAGGACGTCTCTTCTTTCTGAGTAAAGATGACTGTAGGTAAAATACATACCTAACATGAAGAAGGAAATGGTAAATGGTAAGTAAGTTTGATTAACCATTTCTTTGGAAAGAACCATAGTTTTAAAATAGAGCGCCGCCTGGAGACCAGAGATGGGACACTTGCAAGGAAGATTCAAAGAAGAAATGCTTAAAGATTTTCAGCAGGAAGGACAGTAAAGCAAACCCCTTCCACCTCACTATTTTGCTCATTGCAAGGAATTCACTTTTCCCTTTAAGGGAGCACTCTCCACTTCCCCTAGTGCTTCACATCTGTCTTCTCTTTTATGTGGTGGTCTTATATATTTGACAGTTGTTACTTTCTAGAGGAAATCACTAACTTGGGGATTTGTGATGGTTAGAGCTGGGGAAGATAAAATTTAATAATGGAAATCTTTTTCCCAATTTCCAGGGTAAAAATTGATGAAATTTTTTCAACTTAACTTTTTGTTATATACATTTTTTTGCCTGCTAGGAAAGAAACGGAAAACTAAATAGATAAGGCTGGTTGTTTTTGATACTTGTGTCTATGGTCAGAACTTCTATATTTCGCACATAATGCAGTTACATTTTCTGCAAGTAAAACTGTTCTGTTTCATCTCTTGTTTATAATACTTTTTTTAAAGGTCAATTTCTAGATGCTTTACTAACAGGGTCTAATTCATTGTACCAGGCTTCCTCTTTGGTCTTCCCTATGTTTATATACCTTTCCTTTAAGGTTGATGGCAGCACAAACCAAAAAGCACAGAAAGAATGCAAAAACAAAATAGAAAAGCCACTTACCTATAAAGAGCATCATGAGATATATTTTCAGCACATATGGGAAATAGATGGATAAGTCAAAGGGCAGCTTTGTGGAATAAGTGCCAAATGATTCAAAATAAGGCAGCGACTGATAGATGGCGAATGCTGTTTAAAGAAAAGAAAAGTTAAGCAGAGACACCTCTGTGATTCCTTAGGTGTGTGTATGTGTATATTATATCTGCACAGTGAAAAGATATCTTGAATTTGATGAGTTTTGTGACGATTTATGAATACTTTAGCTAAAGCTAGTTTGATATAGAAATCTGAATGATTAAACTGACAAGGCCATTACAGCGGTGTGACCTGAATTTTTGTCCATCTAATAGTTTACAATACCTGTCCCCTTAGCCACAAATAGGGGTGGGTGATAGATGAACAAATATAGAAAATGCTGCATATATTTCCCTCTTGGAGTTGCACAACACACATCAGTATAGTAGAGATTCTGAAAAGTTCTGCAATCAAGTAACTGGCTTCGGAAGAAGGTCCAAGATGGCCTCACAGGAGGATGCCGAGCTTACCCCCTCCCAAGAACACATAGAATGTACACCTACATTTAGAACAATTTTTCCTGGCAGCTGAGGACCACTTGCACAGCTTCTGTACAACAAATGAGAGACCACATAGAGAAGGTTGGGGAACTGAGAGAGCTATCCAGGAGCTGGGGGAACTTTCTAGGACTGGAGGAACCAGGGAGCACTATTGTTTGTTTCCCTGGCCCTTGGAGAGAGGGTGGGGAGCTCTATCCAGGCTCTCTGGCCAACCTGTAGGGCTGCTGTAGCAGGTTCTCAGCTCCAGCAGGAACAGAAGGGTGCCATTGTGTGCATGCACAGGGCCCCTCCACCCAGAAATTAATCTAGCAAACACTGTAGGGCCCTGCTACGTGCATCCACTGGGCTCCCCCACCCAGAGAGTGCAGAACTAGCCAAGCATTATAAAGCCTGCATGCAGGACTGACCTGTCCGGAGAAAGTGCAGAGGTAGTGGGGGCTGCTGCATCTGGAGAAAGTGCAGAACTAGTAGGGTGCTGCAGCACCAGCACATATGGTTGCCCTACCAAAAGAGGAAGGAATGCTTCCAAAATCATTCTGCAAGCACAGCATTACTAATATTAAAACCAGATGAAAACATTGTGCAAAAAAGAATTACAGACCAATAACCCTGATGAAATGCATGCAAAAATTCTCAAACTTTTGGCCAGCTGAATCAAGATTATACACCATGATCAAGTGGGATTCATACCAGGAATGAAAGGTTCCGTATCACATTAACAAAACCAAAGATAAAGCTCATATGATCATCTCAATAGATGAAGAAAATGAATTTGACAAAATCCAACATCCGTTTATGAAAAAAATCTCAAAGTGGGTAAAAAAGTAACTTACCTCAAAATGAAAACGACTTCATATGACAAGGCCACAGCTAACATGACAGTGAAAATTTGAAAGTTTTTCCTCTATGATCAGAAGGAAAGACAAGTAGGCTCACTCTCACCACTGTTATTCAATATAGTATTGAAAGTCCTAGCCGCAGCAATCTTGCTGACAAGAAAAAAAGGCATCCAAGTTGGAAAGGAAGAAGAAAAACTCACTATTTGCAGATTACATAATACATATAGAAAACCTTAAAGAATCCATTGAAAAATAGAATCGATGAATTCAGTAAAGTAGCAGGATACTAAGTTAATGTACAGAAATTTGTCATGTTTCTATACACTAACAACAAGCAGGAGGAGAAATTAAGAAAATAATCCCATTTATTAGTGATGTTCAACATCACTAGTTATAAGGAGAATGCTAATCAAAACTACAATGAGATACCATGGCATACCTGTTATAATGGCTGTTATCAATAAGACAAATAAGTGTTAGTAGAAAAGGAAAGTTCAGACACTGCTGGTGGGAATGTAAATTGGTGCGATCACTATGGAAAACAGTATTACAGTTCCTAAAAAAATTAAGATAGAGCTACCATATCACAGAGCAATCCCTCTTCTGGGAATCTACCCAAAAAATTTAAAAACATGTATTAGTAATGATATATGTATCCGTACATTCATTGCAGCATTATTCACAATAGTCAAGACAGGGAAACAACCTAAGCGTCCTTTGATGGGTGATTAAAGATTTGGTACATTTATACGATGGAATACTATTCATTCATAAAAGGTGAAATACTGCCATTTGTAACAATCTTGAGAATACTGTGCTAAGTGAAAGAAGTCAGACGCAAAATGACAAATGTGATATAAAACAAAAAAAGCCATACTCATACAGACAACAGAATGGTACTTACCAGAGGGGGTGGGGGGTTGACTGGGGTCAAATATATGGTGATGGAAGGAGGCTACACTTTGGGTGGTGAGCACACAATTGAGTATACAGATGTCATATTAAGTAGCACACCCGAAATTTACATAATGTTATTAACCAATGTTACCCCAATTAATTAAAAACAAACAGTGTCAGCCAAAATGAAAGAACAGGACAAAACTCCAGGAAAGGAGCTAAATGAAATGGAAACAAGCAATTTACCAGATAGAGAACTTCAACAAAGAAATAGAAAAGATTTTTTAAAGCACCATTTAGAACTGAAGAATACAATAAGTGAAATGAAAACTATACTGGAGCTAATAAACATCAGATTAGATGAATGAGAGGACTGAATCAGCTATATGGAAGACAAGGTAGTAGAAAACACCCAATCACAAGATCAAAAAGAAAAAAGAACTTTCAAAGATGATGATAGTTTAAGGGACCTCAGGGACAAATCAAGCACACCAACATTCACATCAGAGGGGTCCCAGAAAGAAGGGGGAGAGAAAGGGACTGAAAACCTACTTGAAGAAATAATGAGTTTCCTTCACCTGGTAAAGGAAATATACAAATCCAGGAAGCACAAAAAGTCCCAAAGACGCCAACACCAAGATAAATCATGATTAAAATGCCAAAGGTTAAAGACAGAGAATCTTAAAAGTACCAACATAAATGTAGCTAGTTATATACAAGGTTGCTCCCATAGGAAAGCTAGCAGATTTTTCAACAGAAAATTTTTAGGCCAGAAGGAAATGGCACAAAATATTCAAAGTGATGAAAGGGGGGAAATGTACAACCAAGATTACCCAACAGGTTAATAATTTAGAATCAAAAGAGAGAAAGTTTCCCAGACAAGCAAAAGCTAAAGGGAGTTCATCACTAAACCAGCGTTACAAGAAATGTTAAAAGCATTTCTTTAAGTAGAAAAGAAAAGGCCAAAAGTAAAAATAAGAAAATAAGGGAAATGAAAAATTTCAACTGACAAAGGCAAATACTTAGTAAAGGTAGTGGATCAACCTATTATAAAGCTAGTATGAAGAATACACCCAATCACAAGATACAATAATACAATACGATATATTGTACAATATAAAAATACAATAATATAAATACAATATTAAAATACAATATTAAAATACAATAATAAATTAAGGAATACATACACATAAAAGATAGAAAAATGACAAAAACAAACATGGGAGTGTCAGAAAAAAATGCCATTTTAGAATGTATTCTCAAAGCAACCATAGCTGAACAGATAAGACCTCCACACATGCTGCCTATACTTCAGATCAAAAGACAGAGACAAAGTAAAGAAATGGAAAAAGACATTTTATGCAAATAGAAACAAAAAAGGCTGGGATAGCAATAATTATATCAGACAAAAAGACAAAGGCTGTAATAAGGGACAAAGAAGAACAGTTTATAATGATAAATGGATCAATCCAACAAGAGGACGTAGCTCTTGTAAACATCTACACACCCAATGTAGGTGCACCTAAATATATAATGCAAATATTGACAGACATAAGGGAGAGATCGACAGTAATACAGTAATAGTAGGGGACATTAACACCCCACTTAACATCAATGGACAGATCAGAGAAAATCAGCAAGGAAAGTGACCTTCAATGAAACATTAGAACAGGTTAACTTAATAGATATTATAGGACATTTCATTCATAAAACAGAATATACATTCTTTTCAAGCGCAGTGGAACATTTTCCAGGATAGACCTCGTTAGCCACAACACAAGTCTCAATAAATTTAAGAATTAGAAATCCCATCAAGCATCTTCTCTGAGCAAAAAGTATGAAATTAGAAATTAGAAGAAAAATTGAAAAAATCCCACAAACACATGAAGGCTAAACAACATGTTACTAAATAATGAATGAGTTAATGAGATCAAGTAGAAAATCAAAAGATAGCTTAAAACATTGAGAATGTAAACACAGTGACCCAAAATCTGTGGGACACAGCAAAAGCAGTTTTAAGAGAGAGATTTATATGCCTACCAAAAATCTCAAACAATCTAACCTTAACAAAGCCCAAAATGAACAGAAGGAAGGAAATAATAAAAATCAGAGGGGAAATAACACTTAAAAAAAATAGAAAATATCAATGACACCAAGAGCCAATTCTTTGAAAAGATAAACAAAATTGATAAACCTTTTACCAGACTCTAAAAAAAAAAAAAAGAGGTCCAAATAACTAAAACTAGAAATGAAAGAGAAATGATGGAAACCACAGAAATACAAAGGATTATAAGAAAATGTTAAAACCAATTATATACCAACAAATTGGACAATCTAGAAGTAAATTTCTAGAAACAGTCTTCTAAGATTGAATCAGAAAGAAATAGGAAATCTGAATAGACAAGTACTAATAACAAAATTGAATCACAAATTAAAAAAACAACCACCAAGAAACAAAAGTTCTGGCTTCACAGGTGAGTTCTACCAAACAGTCAAAGAATAATTAATGCCTATCTTTCTCAAACTACTACTACTAAAAACTGAAGAGGAGAGATCGCTCCTGAACTCATTTTATGAGCCCAGCATTACCCTGATACCAAAACCAGACAAAGATACCACAAAAAAAGAAAATTACAGGCTAATATCCCTGATGAACATAGATGCTAAAATCCTCAACAAAATGGTAGCAAATCAAATTCAGCAATATATATTAAAAGCACCATACACCATGACCAAGTGGGATTTATTCATGGGATGCAAGGCTGGTTCAGTATCTGTAAATCAGTTAACATAATGCATAAACACTGAAAGATAAAAATCATATCATATTGATAGATGCAGAAAATGCATTTGACAAAATCCAACATCTACATGATAAAAACTCTCAGCAAAGAGGGGACAGAGGAAACATACCTCAACATAATAAAGGCCATATATGACAAACTACAGCTGACATAATACTCAACAGTGAAAAGCTGAAAGCTTTTTCTTTAAGATCAGGATCAAGGAAAGGATGTCCACTCTCACCACTTATATTTGATACAGTATTACAAGTCCTAGCCACACAATCAGACAAGAAAAAGAAGCACCCAAATTGGAAAGAAGTAAAACTCATTATTTGCAGAGGACATGATACTATATATTGAGAACCCTAAAGAATCCACCAAAAAACTATTAGAACTAATAAAGGAATTCAGTGAAGTTGCAGGATACAAAATTAATTCTCAGAAATTGGTTGCATTTTTATACACCAATACCAAACTATCAGAAAGAGAAAGTAAGAAAACTCTCTGTCTTACTATTGCATCAAAAAGAATAAAATATCTAGGAACAAATTTAACCAAGGATGTAACAGACCTGTACTCAGAAACCTGTTAGACATTGCTCAGAGAAACTGAAGATGACACAAGCAAGTGGAAGCATGCACTGTGCTCATGGATAGGAAGGATTAACATAGTTAAAATGTCCATATTTCCCAGAGCAATCTACAGATTTTATGCAATCCTTACCAAAATATCAGCGACTTTTTTCACAAGACTGGAAGAAATAATCCTAAAATTTATATGGGACCAAAAAAAACCCCAAATAGCCAAAGCAATATTGAGAAGAACACAATTGAAGGTATCACACTACTATAGGCTATAGTGGAGGTATCACACTACTATAAGGCTACAGTGATCAAACAGCATGATACCGGCATTAAAAAAAAACACAGACACATAGATAAATTGAACAGAATAGAGAGCCCAGAAATAAGTCCACATTTATATGGTCAATTAGCATATAACAAAGAAGGCAAGAAAGACAATCTCTTCAATAAATGATGATGGAAAACTAGACAGACAGATGTACAAAATGAAACCAGAGCACTTTCTTACACCATATACAAAAACAAAATGGATTAAAGGCTTAATATAAGACTGGAAACCATAAAACTCCTAGAAGAAAACATAGGCAATAGACTCTTTGACATTAGTCTTAGCAATATTTAGATATATCTTCTAGGGCAAAGACAACAAGAGAAATAAACCAATGGGACTACATCAAACTAATAAGCTTCTGCACTGCAAAGATAACCATCAACAAAGCCAAAGGGCAACCTACTGAATGGGAAGATACATTTGCAAATGATATATCTGATAAGGGGTTAATACCCACAATATATAAAGAACTCATACAGCTTATCATCAAAAAAATAAATAATCCCATTTAAAAATGGGCAGAGGACATGTATAGACAGTTCTCCAAAGAGGACATGCAGATGGCGAACAGACACATGAAATGATGCTTAACATCACTAATCATGAGGGAAATGCAAATACCACAATGAGATACCACCTCACACCTGTCAGAATGGCTGTTATCAAATCCACAAATAAGGGTTAGCGAGGCTGTGGAGAAAAGGGAACCCTGTGCACTGCTGGTGGAACTGCAAATTAGTGCGGCCACTGTGGAAAGCAGCGCGGAGGCGCCTCAAAAAATTAAAAGTGGACTCAGTGACCCAGCAGTTACTCTTCCTTGTATTTATCCAAAGAAATCCGAAACAAGTTCAAAAAGATATATTCACTCATATGTTCATCGCAACATTATTTACAACAGCCAACCAAGACGGAAGCAACCTAGGTGTCCAATAGACAAGTGAATAGAGATTTTGTACATATATACAAGGGAATATTATTCAGCCATTTAAAAAGAATGAAATCTTGCCATTTGCAACAACATGAATGGACCTAGAGGGTATTACACTAAGTGACGTAAGTCAGAGACAGACATGCAATATTAGTTTCAGGTATACAAAACACACACACACAGATACGCAGAACAAACTGATGCCTGCCAGATGAGAGGGGGGTGGGGTGATGGGGGGAAAGGTGAGAGGGATTAAGAAGAACAAATTGCCAGTTATAAAAGTAGTCATGAGGACGTGATGAACATACAGCATAGGGAATACAGACAATAATATTGTAATAATTATGTTTGTTTTCAGATGGGTACTAGGCCTATTGTGGTGATCACTACATAAGGTATATAAATGCCTGATCACTATGTTGTATACCTGAAACTAATATAATATTGTATGTCAACTATAATTGGAAAATAAATTCTTTAATGCAATACACAATCAGACCAATTTTAATCAGTTTGTCTAGCATAAAATGGAGGTGAAACTTAATGAGTGAAGTATGAATAAATAATGTGCTGAACTGGGAGTACAGTACTGGATTTTTCTCTAGTGTCCAGGTAAAACTCAATTACAAATGTCAGGCCTTGTTAGGCCTTTTAAAATACTGCTTCCCTCTTTCCATAGTTAAGGTGATGCAAATAATATGCCACATCTTTCCTTACATAGGAAATAGTAGAGACTTTAAATTTCATTTTCAAGGAGAAACTTGAATCTAACAATTTCATCATCAGTCAAACAATTGCACAATTAAACAAGTCAAGGAGAAGAGGACATTCACCAAGGTAAGGTATTAAGTGTGTCTAGATGAGCTAATGCTGACTGAATGGCTCTTCTCAGCTTGTAATTCAGCTGTTCAAGATGGATTCCTATTCTATAAAATTACATCATCACAAATACTCTATTCGGATTTAGAGTTTGTCTTAAGATACTTAGAATTTCACTTGGTTAAAGAAAAGAAAAATATATAACCAAAGCTAATCGTTTGATCTACTTTTCAAGATGAAATATGGAATTGAAATTTGAATAAAGTCCAACTATAACAGCACTATTGGATCAGAAGCTAAGCTGTAATGATAACCAAGATGAAGGTTTGAGAAATGGTTTGAGAAAACCTATTCCCACCTAGAGAATTATAGACACCATTCAGAAAAACCTTAGCACTGGGCAGCGGGCAGGGAAAGGGTACCAAACTGAAAGCTATGAGGAATGCTAAGGACAGAGGAGAGAAAATTCTTCCTCTCAAAGAGTGTACCACCTATTTGAGAACAAAAGATACGCACGTGAAATGACAGACACCTGTGCAGAGTGGAGGTGAGGTGGGACGGATAAAAGAGGCAAGAAAGAGACAATCAGTGGCTTCTGGGTACCGGTACTCAGCCATAAAAAAAGAAATGAAATCTTGGCAGCTGAGACAGCATGGATGGGATCTAGAGACTATTATGTTAAGTGAAATAAGTCAGACAAAACAAATACTGTATGATTTCACGTATATGCGGAATCTAAAGAACAAAATGAACAAAAAAACAAACTCATAGATACAGAGGACAGCTGATGGTTCCCAGAGGGGCAGGGGATTAAAAAGTACAAACTTGCAGTGACAAAATAAGCCATAGGGTGTAATGTGCAGCATAGGGAATAGAGTCAATAATACTGTAAGAACTAGGAATGGTGGCAAACTTTCTTGCGGCGATCGCTTTGTAAGGTATATAAATGTTGAATCACCATGTTGTATACCTGAGACTAATACTGCATGTCAACTATAATTTAAAATATCTTTTAATTGGGGGAAAAACAATCCCTGAATCACTACATGTTAAACCCCCTTTGGATGAGTAAACGGACCGGTTAAACGATTTACCCAAAGCTCATGTGGAAATAACATTTGAATAAATTTTAATGAAGTCAAGAGCTTAGACTCATGTCCTAATTCCTCATCTACTATTTTGTCCACTACGCAGAGCTGCTTCCCCCTCTAACTCTGCTCCTTCACGCTTTGCTTCTTTGCATCAAAGGAAGTATGACAGGAAAGAGGCACTGAGTCAGCTAAGCAGCGCGAAAAATAGTAATTTAATATCAAAATATTTATAACTAGATGGCTGTTGTCAGTGAGCAATAGAGCAAGTCGCTCTTTTCTTACCTTCAGCAAGAACACACAAAGGATAAATCGGCATCCACAGTGTCTGATTGAGCCAGATCAGGAAGGCGTAGGATATTCCTATGACTGACAACATGCTATTAGTGTACCTGAAAGGAGACAGGGAGCTCATAAGCATCAACTGCTGCTGCTGTCTGGGAAACGAGAGAATGAAATACTTTATTACGTAATTAAATACAGACAAAACTGGAATGAGTAGTGCAGGTTCCATACTTTATCTCCTATAATTTAAGCAGAAAAAGTTTTTTAAATGGGGGGAGGGGAACCACGTCACTCTGGCTTGTCTCATGAGGTGGATCACAGACAACCAAGTCCCCTTGATTAGTGAGCTCACTTTCACTCAGAAGCCAAGCCCATTTTATGCAACAAGCAGCTATTCAGTTGCTGTTTTTTATGACAAACTAAACTTGTAAATACTAGGGAATGGATTTTAAAAATAAAAATATGACTTAAAATTCTGTATTGACATCCCTCTGCTTATGTAGTTGTGCCATTTTATCGACACAATTGAAAAAGTGTCCTGAGGAGCTTGTTGGGGTTACAGTAGGTAGTTTAAAACCTGATTTTGTGATGTAATAGGTGAAGTCTACATCTTTTTATTTCTCTGTTCTCTGAATAGGCCAGTGGCTCTCAAGTTTATGCAAACATCAGAATCACCCAGAGGGCTTTCTAAAGCACAGATTGCTAGGCCCACCCCCAAAGTGTCTGAGCCAGTGGGTCCCAGGTAGAGCCTGAGAATTTGTATTATGAACAGATTCTAGGTGATGCTGAGGCTACTGGTCCAGGGGCCATACTTTGAGGACTACTGGAATAGGCAGTGAATACATATGGCCAAACAAAATCCCAAACCTTGAAAACAGTGGTGGAAAGTACATCTTTCTCTCATTCCAGGACCCTCATTCCACTCCTCAAAGGCAATGACCATGCCAATTTCTTAGTCTTTCAGAAGGATTTTTCCATATGCTTATCTATGTGTATATGCTTATCTATACCAACATTACAAGTCTTCACTAAACATGGCATATTATCAAACTTTTTGATCTCTACCAATCTAAGTGAAAAACTATCACACTATCTTTTTTTAATTTATTACAAGAGTAGGTATGTTTAAAAAGCCACTTTGATGAAGTCCAATGTATCTTTTTTTCTTTTGTTGCTTGTGATTTTGGTGTCATATCTAAGAATCCATTACCAAATCCAAGATCACAAAGATTTACCCCTATGTTTTCTTCTAAGGGTTTATAGCTTTAGCTCATACATTTAGTTGTTTGGTCTATTTTGAGATAATTTGTGTATATGGTATGATGTAACGGTCCAACTTCATTCTTTTGCATGTGGATATCCAGTTGTCCCAACACCTTGTTGCAAAGACTATTGAATGGTCTTGCCACCCTTGTCAAAAATCGTATAGATGAGAGTTATCTCTGAACTATTAATTCCATCCCATGATATATCCTTATGCCAGTACCACACTCTTCATTATTATTACTTTGTAATAAGTTTTAAAATTGGGAAGTGTGAGTCTTCCAACTATGTTCTTCTTTTTCAAGATTGTTTGGCTATGCTGGGTTACTCGAGTTTCCACTTTTAGGATCAGCTTCTCAATTTCTGAACAGAAGCTAGCTGGGATTCTGATAGGGATCACATTGAATCTGTGTATCAATTGGCAGAGTGCTGCTGTCTAACAACATTAAGTCTTCAGTCCATAAACATGGGATATCTTTTCATTTATTTTGATCTTAATGTCTCTCAACACTATTTCATAGTTTTTGGTGTATAAGTTCTATACATCTTTTGTTAAATTTACTCCTACTTTTATTTTCTGATGCTATTGTAAATAGAATTATTTTCTTAATTTTACTCTAAGTCATTGCAAAGGTATAGAACATAATTGATTATTGTATATTGATTCTGTATTCTACAATATTTTTAGTGGAATCCTTATGATTTTTAAAATATATAAGAAAGATCATGTCATCTGCCAGTAAAGACAGTTTCACTCCTTCCTTTCCAATACAGATAGCTTTTACATCATTTTCCTGCCTAATTGCCATAGCTGAAACTATGGTGAACGGAAGTGGCTAGAGTAGACATGCTTTCTTACTCCTGATCATGGGAGGAAAACATCAGTCTTTCATCATTAACCATCATGTTAGCTGTGAATTTTTTATAGATGCCTTTATCAAGTTGAGGAAGTTTGCTGGCCTTGCTTTTTAAAAAGTCATTCTAGGGTAAGTTGGAAAGATAATTGTACCCCCAATTTTATACCAAAAAAAAAAGAATTTCAAAAAGGTTAGATACTCTGCAATTTTACTCCTACATTAAGAGAAATGAAAATATGTGCACACAAAAGCTTGCACATGGATATTTATAGCAGTACTCCTCATGATCAAAAAGTAGAAACAACCCAAATGGATAAAGTGTGGTATGCCAATATAAGGGAATATTATTCAGCCATAAAAAGGAATAAAGTACTGATAGATGTTACAACATGGATGAACCTTGACAACATTATGTTAAGTGAAAAAAGTCAGTCACAAAAGGCCATGTATTGTATGACTCCATCTATATGAAATGTCCAGAAGAGGCAAGTACAGTCTAGTCCATTAGTGCCTGCCGGGAGCTGGGAGGAGGGAATGAGGACTGACTTACTGATGGGTTTGGAGTTTCCTTTGGAGTGATGAAAATGTTCTCAGATTAGATAGTGGCAATGGCTGTGCCCATCTTTGAATACATTAAAAACCAAATTTTATACTTTAAAAAAGTCAATTTTAAGGTATGTGAATTATCTTGATGCTGTTATTAAAAAAAAAAGGGGGGGGTAAGTGACTTGTCTAAGATCATATAGCAAGTAATAATGGAGGGGTTCATCCTGAGATTTTCCCCTTTTATGTCCAAAAGTCTCTCCACAACAGCATGATTGCACTCTCAATGCATGCGTCACTTCATTCTGTGATGGGTCCACTGAGCTTATCTGAGCCTGAACTGACTCAGAGTTGGGCATACCAGACAGTGATACATTAGAAAGCCCAGATGAGGCTGTGTCTCATGAACAGGAAGTCATGGGCTACGAAAGTCCCTGAAGTTTGTCCTGAGTCTACAAAACTGTCACTTAAAAATGAGGGAAATAATTTACTAAGTTCTATATACAAAATATTATAGTCATTTTAATTCAACAAAATATTTTATTCTAATTCACTCTAGGGCTCAACCCATAATTTAGAAATACTTCAATCAGCTAAGTTACTGACAATGTAATACAGAATTTACATAACCTCAGCTAAGTTGTTACCTACCCACATCCAGATCTTTCAAGTTGCGGGGAGGGCAGTTCTCTTTTGTGAATGCTGAAGTAGCAGTTAGGGAGCCACAGAACAAAGCAGACCGCTTTATCCCACTGCTGGGAGGGATAAGACTAGGTTCATCCCCTTGCAAAATTTGAGAATTAGAAGGACACTGAAGACGATCTAGAGCAAGCAAGGGCTCTTCACCTGAGGCCCAAAGATTCCCAGAGAGTCCACAAAAGAACTTCAGTCAGTCATTTGAACCCACTAGAATTGCCTACAAAAATGTATGTGGAGGTACATTTTTTCTCAGGGAGATGAGGGCCCTATATTGAAAATATTCTTGAATCCACAGAAACCAACTCTGTATGTTCTGACTATGATATGATAAGTGTCTCACTCTACTTATTAGAGTAACACATACCAGAGCAATTGCAAGGAATGCCTTTCACTAACAAACAGCTGTGCAGTTTATTCCAACGTGGTGTTATGCCAAGTCTTCTGCTAGATACCTGTGCTGATTTGCTCTTGCAATACCACAGTAGGTCTCAGTATCTTTCATATGCCCATTCTGGAAGGCACTAAAAACACATTTCCATATCAAGATAAAATAATTTGAAAAGGGGCTACGTTTTCTCTCTCATTCCCAGTAACCAAACCTACCCAGCTATTCCTGGTTTCACGGCAAAAGCAATTTGCCTTTAAGAGATTGTTTTGCCTCCTTACCTAACCATATCCAGCAGGTTCCAGAAGAGAAATAAAACACACACCACGTATTTCTCTTGGACTTCTTCTTGACTGGTGATCACCACAAACAGGATGACGATTCTTTCTGTGAGCTAACAACAACAACAAAACAGCAAAGTCAAGAGTTAGGATCATCTGTTAAGCATGTAAGTTTCTAATTAAAAAAACCAGCCCGGCTGGGTGTGGCTCAGCGGTTGAGCATCGACCTGGATCCAGGAGATTGAGGTTCGATTCCCAGTCAGGGCACATGCCCGGTTTCGGGCTCAACTCCCAGCAGGGGGCGTGCAGGAGGCAGCCGGTTAGTGACTCTCTCATCATTGATGTTTCTCTCTCTCTCTCTCTCCCCCCCATCTCCCTTCCTCTCTGAAATCGATAAAGATATATTAAAAAGTAAAGTAACCAATATTTTTTAAAAAAACAGAGTTCCTCTTAAAAGTAGGCTTTAACTAGAAATATGTACCCTAAACTGTTAACATGACCTCTGAAGGAGTAGGGTTATGGGTGAATTTCATTGCCTCCTTTATTTCCTGTATTCTCAAGATCATATATAATAACAGAAAGATAACATATTTTATCTGAATCAGGATATTTCCCTTCTTGTAATACACGCATACATGTTTTTATTCACTTTGGCAAGCTTTTATCGTATGTCTGCTGTGTTAGATGCTGAGATTATGAAAGCATGGTCCTTGCTCCAGAGGGCAGCCGCAGCAAGAGCATGGGGGGCAGGAACTAACAGTATGAGCGAGGCTGTCACTGCAAGTGCTACGTGCAGGTGCGCAGGTGAGGAAGATGCCTGCCTAGGGAAGGGTGCAGAGATCTATGAAGACGGGCAGCATTTCAGTTGGATCTTGAAGAACAGGTAGGAGTTTTGGGGTAGACAGGATAGGAAAAGGGCCATCCTAGGCCGAGGGAGCAGCCTCAGCAAAGAGGCAGTGATGTGAAAACACAGGGTGGGCTGGGGAGTAGTGAGAACCCTGGGGGCTAGAATGGGTGCAGAGAGGGGGTAATAGATCATAAAACTGAAAACGTGTTGGGGGCTGGGTTGTAAAGGGTTTTCAGTGAATGACAGGCCAAGAAATATCAATTTCATCCCACAAGGAAGCCATCGTAGCTTTATTTTTTCTAGTGGGGGTGGGGGAGGAAGTAATATAAATCTAACTCTCATAATCTAGTGGCAAACGAAAATAATTCAACATATTCATTTTTTTCAAGTCAGTAAGCATTTACAAATTATTGAGAATTCACACACTTATGGCTTAGCTCTAATTACTGACCTCAAGAAATACATTCCTCTTTCCCATCTAAATATAATGTGCCTTCTTGTGTTGTAGTAATATCCCCTGTACAGTCTGCATTTTTATGTTTTTTAGTAGAACATCTTTTCTTTCAGTGGCCAAAAGAAAAGATACTGGAGACGGAGGGAGCATATCAGGGTTAAAAGAAAGGGGAGGATTGCTTTATATATTCCGATAGCTGTCTTTATTTTTAAAACAGCTCAAGGAGGAAGGACTGGGATAAACTATGACTTAGAATCATAGGCTGTTAGTCTGGAAAATCACTTGTGCAGAGAAATCCAAGATTTGCCAACAGTGGCCACATGATCAGATGTCCACACGTAGAAGCTCTGTCTGTATGTTTATGACTATAGCAGTGAGTCAAGAGGTCCATGCTTAGCTATGGGAAATAGATATGATTCAAACCTTAGGGAAACTATTGGAGCTATCTACATAACTGATTTTCTTTGGTTACTTTTGTTTCTTGATTTAATTTAATTCTAGTTCTATAATGAATTATTCTTAACTGCAATAATTACTGAATGATCTAAGCTTGCTGCCATGGCAGTTGGCAGCCTTCAAATACAAGATCTTAGCAGCCAACAAAATTTAGGAAATACCTAATCTTACATTTAACCAGTGCCCGCTAATTAGGAAAATCACCCACTTCTTGATAAAATCTCAAGAGATACACACACATGAATGTATACACAAAACACATATTTCTAATTATATAGTTGACTACTGAAAGAAAACACTTAGATATTAACCCAACCCCACCCTTTTACAAATAAGGAATTTGGGAATCAGCCAAACTTGCCCAAACTAGTGAGAGATCTGAAAATATATAAGTACCAAGTTTCCTGGTTTCCAGAGTTATAAGCTATCCGTGATGTCAGGCTACCCGTTAATTGATGAGTACCGAAAAGAAAAGATCTTCAAAAAGAGAGACACCCTGGCCGGTGTGGCTCAGTTGGTTGGGACCCTCCTGCTGTGCAATGAAAGTCTGCTAGTTCGCTGGTTCGATTCCGGGTCAGGGCTCATGCCTGGGCTGTGGGCTTGATCCTCAGCAGGGGCGTGCAGGAGGCAGCAAGTCAATGTTACACCCTCATATCATGTTTCTCTCTTCTCCCTCCCAATCTCTCTAAAAATCAATAAACTATGGGCGGGGGGGAGACTGGAGCTGCACAGTGAAATCCACCCTGTTCAAAATGACCACTTGAGCATCTGTGGCATTTTAGTGATAGAATCCCAACTGCATAGAAATCAGCAGTCAACGTGCCCCAAAAGGCACACAACCACACATACATGTGGGTATGTGAAGATTTCCTCCTACAATGCCAGTCTAAGTAACAAACCATCTGATGATTATATAACTCTACCTTGACCATTCAAGGGCAATACAAAGGGACAATTTAGGTGGAGATACACTTAAGTTGATAAAAGTTAGCATTTATTGGTTACTTGATGCCAGGTTCCAACTATACACCACCTCATTTAATCTCCCTAACAACCCTAAGAAGTGCTTTTATTATTATCTGCTTCTGCATTTTATAAAGTGAAAGTGACCTGCCTGAAGATCTGGAATAAAATCTAGACAATGTGACTCTAAACCCCTTGTTCTGAAACACTAAGACATGTTCATTTTGCTATTTTATGGGCTACCCCTGCACCTACTATCCGGGTTATAGCCTATTCTTTTACAAAGCCTCTCCTCAAAAACTAAACCTTAAAACAAGAACCTTGATTTTCTAAATCAACACCATAACAATTTTGAGGGACAGGCTTTAAATTTTTTACTTTCCTTTACGTATAATAATTTCACCAGTTATTTGGAGCTTTACATTTGGGAGAACTTAGCACTTTGTCATTTTAAAAATCCTGTGAGAACATGACTGACTAGTAATGAATGGTCTTGTAATGTTTAGTGCAACTCGAGCAGGTAGAATAAAAGTACAGTAAAAAATTCTATAACTTAGCTCCAATTAAGCATGGTGGTAATGTAGTCTGCTCAGAAGTATGGTACTATAAAATGAAAATATTTTGCATTTTTATGTTCTGTTTGGGAATCTTAAATTCCAGGTTAAGCAATGACTACCATTAAGTTGTCACTTTATACATGGCAGCCAGCACTTTAGTTATAAACTGTTGAAGGGGGTAAAGTGATACTTCAACTACCGGGAGAATTTCTAGAAACTTAAAGGATAAATTAGTTTTAGCCTCAAAGACTATTTTACTTTTTCAGTCCTGTGAACTTCAGCTGAGAACTCCAGAAACACATCCTTGTATGTTTAAAAACCACCAGGTCCTTTCTTCTATGAGACAAAAGCATTTAAATAATTTTAATTTTTTTGTTTGTTCACTCATTATTCAATAGTTATTTATTAAGCGGACTATTCTGGGTCCTGGGGGTAGAGCTATGAGCAAGACCAAGTCCCAGCCCTCATGGTACTTATACTACTTAGTAAGACAGACAGTAGACAAAGTAGCATGACAGTTACTTGAGAGTTCAGGACAAATAGCCTAAATCCAAACTTTTCCTGTACCAGTCATCATTTATGGGACCTTGGATAATTTATTTAACTTTTGTGGTCACTGATTGATTGTACTAGAGATAATACTAATTCTTATTAGTAGTATATAGCAAATATATAGGATAAGGTTATGAAGATGAAATGAGTTAATGCATGTGAAGAACTCAGACAAGTATTTGGTGGCACACAGAAAGCCCTAAATAAATGTAAGCTATGATTATTAAGAAAAACATAATTTAATGTAGTAATTAGCATTTTAGAGGAAAATATACCTTTTCTAATCAAAACTATTAGTGAGTAAAATGTTAATCTCAGTATCTTTAATTATATTGTGAATATAGCTTTATAATTATCACACCGAAGAACTCCATGAATCAAATGCAAAATACAAAGGAAATATCTAAAATCTTGCCTAATGGGTGCACTGTGTGTGTAATTCATTCCCAGGAGGCTCTGAAATTTTGAGAATCTCATAGCTCTAGGCTGTCTTTAACTTTTATCTGTAACAATGCAAACCTGTTCCCAACTCAAAACTGGAGAGAAAATCTATATGATTTTATGGAAAATCAGAAGATTATTTAATCTGGCACTGCAAAGAAGTAACTGCTTCACAGCTAAAAAGAAATTAGGGTGAAACTTGGCTGTTTTCCTAAAAGGGTTTATTTTAAAACACTCTCCTTTGGGATTTCCTTTATATTTGTTCTCATAAGAATCTGTGACGGTGAAATCTTTGGAGTGGTTTTGCTTGCCCTATCGAAAATAGAAAGTGATATTGGTAAATTTAAAGATGATTCTTGCAATTTGGGCTTCCAAATGGAATTTGTGTAGGCATGATAATATTGGAGTAATCATTTCTATTGTTTCTATAGGTTTTTTCAAAATTGTACAAAATACATGTGCAGCAGTGTTTATTGGGACAGAAAGGGAAGCATGCAGAATTTAGCCATTTTAATTCAGTCATATATGAAGTTCTTGCATCCCGAGCATTTCTCAAAAGGTAAAAGAGAAACTGGATCACTCTGAGGGTCTCCTAAAGGCACATCATCTAATGACACAAAGGTTCACTTTCTGGATATTTTCCCCTCCTTGAGTTGAAGCATCATCGAGCTAGATCAATAAAAGCCTTTTTCTCAGGCTTCTGCTCAAGCCAAGCCAGAACAAAGCCCTTCAAAAATCAGTATTTCAGGGTTGGTAGTATTTGCTCTGAATGCCAAGTTGTTTTTATTAAACCTGCTGAAATAAACTAATTTACCAATTCAACTGGGTTTTTTTACCAAGCTAATAAAACATGCAAGTTCATTTGGGAGGAAGGGGTTTGAGAGGCTAAATGCTTAGTTTTCACTTGTATTATCATTTTCTATAACAGATATATGCATTTTTTAGACCTTTTTACTTTCCATTTTATAAATTTAAAATATCAAAAGTTAACTATACTTCCTTATATAATTTTAATTGGCATGCAATTATTTCCAAAAAATGGATGTCCATAAACAACTATTTATGCTATAGTTTTATGCCTAAACTGTGTTGTTTTAAATACAGAAAAATATGTATCTCTGTGTTAAATTTTTATAATCTTATTACAAGTGGGTTTTTTCCTCCTTTTTTCTTTAGCAATTGTGTGTAATTCTAGAAATTCATAATGGCTTTTCTCTGTCAAAATAAAGATGTGTGTATAAAATATTTTAAAATGCACAGAACGAAACACAAAAAGCAAACACCCCACGTACACACATCACCACCAGTTGATGAGTGTGGTTCTAACCGCTCAACCAGCTTATCGTTCCTACTGTTTTTTGAAATGACTTCTCTTGATACTTTGGAAGACCAGTTCCCCAAAAGAGAACTCAGTTGTGACTTAGGTAATGGCAAAATAGCATCGCAAATGTGCGGATATGTTTTTCAGCCCGCTTGAAACTACAGAAACCGTGCATTTTTCAAGATACCATATGCAATCAGCTATGATGACCGTGTCAGTAGCTTAGCCATATCCTTAACTACAGTTTCTTCACTCAAAAATGGGGAAACAGAAAAACCAACAAAAATTTCACAACCTTAGAGTTTTGTTTGGTTATTTTACAGCAGGGGCCTTGGAGTCATCTCAGAGCATCTCATAATGAAGGAATTCTAATTGTCTGCAGAATGCTAATAAGGGAAGGGGGAGAAATGAAACTTTGGACGTGATGATGTGAGTTTCTGAAGCTTTCTCCAATACCATGTCCATTCTGAACACCAGAGTAAAGACAGTAAATGAGTAAAAGAAATAGAGGGCAGGTGAAATCTCAAAAAAGATAAAAAGAGGAAACCAAATAATCACAACAAAAATTAATAATAGTCTGCCCAGGGTGAGAATGGTAACTGCCTTCCCAATGTTATCCCTCCCAACAAGATAAAAAGTCATTGAGCCCCATTAATAGTAGACTCTACAACCTCACCTTTGAATAGAAAGTTTCAGTGTGCCTGGCTGGCGTGGCTCAGCGGCTGAGCATCGACCTATGGTCCATGACATCGGGGTTTGATTTCGGGTCGGGGCATATGCCTGGGCTGTGGGCTAGATCCCCAATGGGGGGATGTGCAGGAGGCAGTTGATCAATGACTCTCTCTCATCACTGATATTTCTCTCTCTCCCCCTCTCCCTTCCTCTCTCTGAAATCAATAAAGACATATTTTAAAAAAAAAAGTTTCAATGTATATTTGCCATTATTTTTTAATTACCAAACCAGGATATAGTTTGATTACAGTGATCATATTTCTATAAGCCATTACAGTTTCAAATAATAGCGATTAAAATCACACTTAAATATTCTGGAATTTCTGGAACTCCAAGAAATCAGATTTCTAACTTGTATAATAGTTTCTATTACCAGGCAAGCTTACCTAATTTTGGAAAGCATAAAAAAATGTGCACATTTTTCTATGCATATTCAAGGCATTCTATTTTCTTACTTACAAATGTAACTGTCCTGTTTCACTTGCATTCCCTATATTGGCAATAACTAAATAACACTGCTCTTAATTCTGAAAATGTTGAAATTAATATTGGCCAGTTTAGCTTACAAAAGTAAAAAGTTCAAAAAGGTATACCAAAAGAAAACATGACTTAGATTTTAGGTGAGTTTGACCATGCTCCAAGAAAAATAATTTCATGTGATAGAATACAATTTTCATTTAGCCTGGGTGGTTAATTCTGTTCTCTAAAATTAGCATCATGGGATGCTGGTATTATATATATTCTGGTTGTTAACAAATAATAAACATCAATAAATCTTGTTCCCAAATAATATGTTTCTTCTGGGACAGATATGTACTCCTTTTATTTTTATAAGGAAATATGTTTAAGGGAATTCCATCTAGGTCTTGGCTAGCTGTTAGCTAACTACTACTCTGTTATTAGTAGTTCATGCTCTAAATAGTGCCCTGATTTTTATTTTACATTTGATATTTCAACACTTAAAATGAATCTTAATGAATACTATTTCTCTACTTTTATTTCACAAGTAAAATTTAAAATCTCCCATAAACTTATACTGCTGAGTTCTTATTAGGCTCCTCAGAATTATACTCCTACTACCATCTTTTAAATTTTCATGGTATTTTAAGCAAATTTTAATACAAGGATCTATGCCACTCCTTCACTCAACAAAAATTTAGGGCATGTGTTCACATTCTAAGCACTTTGCTAGGTACTGGCAATGTAATCAGATTCTGACATTTTATTTTTATAATGCAAATTTGTCAAATTTAGTTGTTTATCCATTTTTCTCTTTTATTTTGTGAATAGTTAAAATTATACTCATGGAAAGGCCTTTTTCCAAAGATTTTAAATGCACATTCATATAGTTACCTAACCCTTATCCTTCCTTTTTTTTTTTATGGAAGATACCACTTTTTAATTGTTTTGCCTTAATTCAGCAATGATTTCTGCTATTGAATCTCTTCCAGTGAATTTCCCATCTTCCTTCAACCTACCTTTATTTATTTTTTTGTTGTTCAGAATAGTACAGATGTCTCTTTTCCTCCCCAATGACCCCTTCCACCCCGCCCCTCCCCCTGCCCAGTCCCTGTCCCCACCGTTGTCCATGTCCTTGGGTTGTGCATATATGCGTACAAGTTCTTTGGTTACTCTCTCCCCCTCCACCCACTTGCCCCCTCCTTCCCTCTGAGATTCATCAGTCTGATCCATCTTTCCATGTCACTGAATCTATTCTGTTCATCAATTTATTAAGTTCTTTAGATTCCACATATAAGTGAGATCATGTGATGTTTGTCTTTCTCTGCGTGCAGCACAATTCACAATAGCTAAGATCTGGAAACAGCCCAAGTGCCCATCAGGAGGTGAGTGGATAAAAAAGCTGTGGGACATTACACCATGGAATACTATGCAGCTGTAAAGAAGAAGGATCTCTTACCTTTTGGGACAGTATGGATCGACCTGGAATATATTATGCTAAGCGAAATATGCCAGGCAGAGAAAGTCAACCTGCCTTTAAAATGAACATGATCATCTAGGGCTACAGACATGGCAGAGAGAACAAATAATAGCTAAAATAATAGCACTATTTACCAGTATTGTAATCTTAACTCAATGCTGGGAACTTATCCCACCCATTTTCTCAGTTACTCCATGAGATACATGTTGTTTTCACATCACATGAGAAAATAAGATTCGGAACAAACTATATGACGTATTTACATACAACTACTAAGAGGTAGAACTGTGATTTGAATCCAAGTCCAATTGATCCCCAAGTTTATTATTAGACACTATACTAGATAATCATGAATGATCTCTCTTCTCCATTTGTGTTCAGTAAAAGTGGCAGAGTGAACAAGAAAAGGCTAGGAAATATTCTATTCTCTGAACAGAGGTGAAAGGAATTTTTTTAAAAATTAAACTTATTGGGGTAACATTGGTTAATAACATATAATTTTCAGGTATACAAGATTCTAATTCGACATCTGGGGCTAATACCCAAAATATACAAAGAATTCACACAACTCAACAACAACAAACCAATCTGATTAAAAACTGGGCTGGCCGGGCGTGGTTCAGCAGTTGAGCTTCGACCTAGGATCCAGGTGATCGGGGTTCGATTCCCGGTCAGGGCACATGCCCGGGTTGCGGGCTCGATCCCCAGTCGGGGGCGTGCGGGAGGCAGCCAATCAATGACTCATCATTGCTGTTTCTATCTCTCTCTCTCCCTCTCCTTTCCTCTCTCTGAAATCAATAAAGATATATTTAAAAAAAAAAATTGAGAAGAGAACCTGAATAGACACTTTTCCAAAGAATACAGATGGCCAACAGATATATGAAAAGAGGTTAATATCACTAGTTATAAGGGAAATGCAAATCAAACCACAATGAGATACCATCTTACACCCATTAGAATGGCTATTATAAAAAAAAACCAAAAAAACACACAACAAGAAATAAAAAGTGTTGGCAAGAATGTGGAAAAAAGGGAACCCTCATACACTGCTGGTGGGGATGTAAACTGGTGCAGCCTCTATGGAAAATAGTACAGAGGTTTCTCAAAAAATTAAGAATAGATTTTTTTTTTTTTTATCATCTATTTCTTGCCAGGTATTGTGTGTGGTGTCCTTTCCCCAAAACAGCCCAATGATTGTAGGTGATATGATCCCACAGTGGTAGGTAGAGGAGCCAGGCATCAAACCCAAGTCTGAATGGCTCCAACCACATACCTCTCCTCAGTCCACCCCGCCCAGGGCCCTGGCAGTCAGAGGGAAGTGCACCGAAATCCCACCGCCACCACCGGGCGAGGAGCGCTGCAGTGATGCGCAGGGCAACAGCCTCATCGCCCCAAATGTTTCCAGCTGGCGCTTCTAACGGGGCAGCGTCTCAGGATGAGGTAATTTTTTCACGGAATTCTTACCAGTGACCTGGGTTTCAAATTTGCAAGGATTGGCTTTTTAACTTCCATAAAGTCAAGAGGGACTATAAATAGGACAAGTACAAAATAGATTAAAAAGTAATAATAATGTGATTAAAACCTACCTGCAGAAACCTAGGAAGAAGACGGCTTGATTCAATGCCGACATAGATGTGCAGCAGTTCCAAGAGGGAGACGGATTGGCAAAGTTGCATCACCAGTCCAATAGCATAGAAAGTGTCAACCATTGAATCTGTGTCCAGTGAATTAAAAATACAGATATAGTAAAAACTAGAGCACAGCCCACATCTCTGCAGCACTTTTAAATAAAATTGAGATTATTTACCCTTGTTTTCATTGTACGTGCGAGAAATTTCCTAAGTAGACTACTACATTATTAAGATTATGCAACTGAAGAAAGTGCCTCATGTTATAGTACATTTAAACCACTCCTCTTCCAAAAGGAAGTAAAACTTGAAAAAGAAGGCTCCATGGCCAAAGCTACAGCATCTGTTCCCCATTTATAAAATTATAAAGCAATTCCCGCATCAAATTAACCAGCTAGAATCCAGGCTACATCAAATGTAAACAGGTTGGAGGTGAGCTCGTTAAAGCTGCCGTACTCACAGCTTTTCCACTGACAAGAAAATGAGAGATGAGAAAAATATGACCTCAGAGCAGCTTTATAGAAATGACCTTAATGATGCCATTTATCAAAAATAACATGGATGTGTATCCAGTATGTGTGTCCTACACTTAGTGTTCTCTGGATTTCTGTTAGATTTTTTTAATCAAATTTGTTTTGGTGACATTGGGTGAAAACAACATTAGTTTCAGGTGTACATCTTTATAGTGTGACATCGCATACTGTTGTGTGCCGACCACCTGAAGTCTAATCTTCCGCACCATATATTTGGTCCCCTGTACCCTCTTCCTCTTTCCCCAGGCCCCCTGATTTTTGTTCATTTTAAACCCCAGAGCTTGGGCCTCTGGTGGGGGGCCTTTGGAGTCTGCACTGCAGAGGGCCCAAGTGAAAACCAAATTTAGAGAGAGCTGAAATGGGAGGGAAGCAAATGTTCCTCTAAATAGGGCACATGTGTTGGTTTAAATTTTAAAATGAAATCCTGCCATAGGAAGAGACTTCTAAGGAAGATTCTGCTCTTTTTATGGCCTAGTGACCATAAATTATCATCGAACACTAAGGGTTTCTCTTCTCGGCAGCAATATGAGGTGTATACTGTTCATGCGCTCCGCAGCTCACAGGTGAGCTGAGGCCTGGACGGCGGTGCCCCTATCCACGGCCTGCACTTGCTGTGACAGAGCCTTGTCATCACAGGGAGCAGGCGCCGCTAGTTCCCGTGATTAGATTACTAAAACTGCTTACTTAATTTATACATTGATTCAGGAATTATACTGAACCTCCACTTAGTCATTTTCAGCCTGCCTTCCATACGAATAGGTTATGTTTCTTTAATAAGTAGCTTTTATCATTATAATGGTAGGATAAAAATTAAGAAATAAATAGACTGCTGACTGAAGCAATTTTTCCCACTGGAAAGGCCAGGCAGCTTAAGAAAGAGTTCATTGCTTGTGACTTGTGCTGTGAATGACCTGTGATATGCCCACAAAGCCACAGCCAACTTCCAGGGCCTAGAAGCGATGTTTTTCTAAAAATAAAGGAGTTTTTGCCATTGCCTGTGCCTTCCTCTGTTTGAAGACTCCCAGCACTTAGCTGAAATTCAAGCCTGAGGTTGTACCTTTGGAGGTTAACAAAGACAATAATTTTTCTGTAGATTTGCAGTAAGAAGAAAGCGACATAAAACAGTTTATGGTACCTCAAAAGTTCAATAATTTCCTGATGATACAGAAGTTGGAATTGATGAGCACAGCACGACTTTTCCCAGATATATTCTACATGCCTGTTTTTTAGCTGAAACCAGCAGTTGCTTAAGTTGTCGAGTCACCCAACAGCTGTAAAGTGTGATGACACTTACCCATGTGGGGATGGAGCATGAATGTTATTTTGACAGTCTTTAAGTGATTCATTTTTCTGAAGTTTCAGATGCTATTTAAAATCTTTACTTTTTAGGAAACTGGAAGAAGCTTATGGCTTGAACCATTAATGCCAACTCCCATATAAATGATGAGTCATCTACAAGTGTGTCTTAAGGAAACCTTTAGTCCTTAAGGGCACCAAATAAAGTTTCTCTTTCATTTATTAGTAGTCTCCAGTTACCTTAAACCTGGGGAATAAAGACTACGGGAAGAATTTGGTTAATTCCTGATTTATCTGCACAAAATGTTATACATACTAGAATTCACAAATTTTCTCAAAACACACCAAATCCGCTAAGGTTTGGTCCAGAACCTAGAAGGAAGAGAGAGGAAGCATCACGCCGATGCCAGGTCTGCCTTTCAGGGCAAACTGCCCACTCGGCGGGGGGAAGCCAAATCCTTTTTCCTCATTTTACCTCCCACCTTCTCCAAAAAGCTTTTGTTTTTTTCGTACTAAGCAAGAAGTAAGGTTTCTGAAAACTGCAGTCACTAAATTTAGAGGAGTTAAGGATATTAAGTAAAGTTCATAGACATTAAAAGTTAATATAAGTAAGATTAGGTAAAAACAAGAATTAAAAGGTAAAAATCAAAAAGTGTATTAGAGTTTTACCTTTTCCAAATGAAAAGAATCTGGCTGTCATATTTGTAAATATCCATGAGTGGCCACAGAACTGGATTAAGTAGTAGATGAAAAGGTAGACATTCTTCCTATACCTATAAATACAGAAAAAAATACCATTAAACACTTTCTTTATAATCATCCGTTCAGCATAACACACATGTGATTGAATTAAGCTACTGGCCAACCTGAGCAAACAAGAGCAGCTTATTCCCTACCGGTCTTTTATTTAGCCACCTTCTGCTAACTCACATTAGATTTTGAAAGGACTATAGCACACACGATCCACTAACGAGTATCCTGAGTTGCTTCAAGCCAAATATGGTTCTATTTCAAAATCCACTTCAACTCTCATGAAGTTCTAACCTTGCTGCTCACCCCTTGGTGAGCATTGCAAAGACTATCTTGAATATTTGGGGGGGTGGGGGGGAGGAGTGTGGAGAAGGCCTTGATGTGGTCAGTATGTGTTGTAAGCGCAGCTCCTGAGAGAGGACTGGTTTGCAGTACAAGGGGGGAGCAGTAATGGGTGGTTAATTCCGTAATTGGACGTGCCTGAGTTTGGGATGCATTCTGTGATTAGGGTCAGCATCTCCCCACTGCCTCCTGTTTTGCTAGAGCAGCTGTTTCCTTCGTTAGACACACACAGGAGGCAGTTTGGTGGCTCAGCCAGAAAAGGGAAGTCGAGCTGGGTTGCCTGCGTCCAGACAAGCCCTCTTTCAAGTGTTCCCCGCGAGTTCGAAAGGGTAGTAGGAGTGGCCCTGCCCTGTCGGCAAGGTTTTCTTCTAGTGGGGGATGTGAAGCCTCTGCAAAGCCAGGCAAGTAGGCTAGAAAGCAGATACAGTGTAGCTTTGTGATTTTACCCGGGCACCCTGCAGAGGACACAAGCTGCTTAAGGGGCAGGAGGGGGACACTCCCTTAAGCCGGCATCAGAGTCACTTGGCATCTCGGTGACACACCCAGCCCGCGGGCCCCCCCCTGGGCGCGTTTCTCCGGAACTGGGCCCCGAATATGCCCAGGCAGCAGGCAGGTCTAATAGTCACCCCGCAACACCCCGTCTGGGGGAGCCCGGAGAAGGGCACCGAGCCGGGGCAGAGGGGAGGGGCTGGCCACGAGCCCACTAAATGAGGGGGTGGTCGCGCCGCCTGTCCTTCCCACGCCGTCATCGGTAAAAAGGGGGGAATAACCGAGCCTCCTTTGCACGGCTGTCGAGCGCGCTGAACGAGCTAATATCTGTCGCGAGCCCGCGGACGGGCGGGCGCCGGGTTTCGCCGCCCCGCGCTCGCTGTGCGCGTCCAGCGCCCTCCCCCGCGGCCCCTCCTC